ATCCTTCAAGGCGCCCTTCTGGTTCCTAGAGTATCCTGTAAGACCCCTATGCAATCCGATGGGACCCCCACGGGATCCTCATGGATCCTTCTAGAATCCTATACAATCCCGACGGAATCCTACAGCATCCCTAGGGAATCCTGTAGGATCCCTATGGTATCTGATAGGATCCCGATGAAAATCCTATAAGATCCTTATGGAATCCAATCAGTTTCCTATGGGATCTAAGACGGTTCATCAGGAATCTTCTGGTGTCCCAACGGAATCCTAGAAACTTTTTATGGGATCGCATTGGACCCCTACGGAATATTCTAGACTCGTGGATGGGATCCTGTAGGATCCCTGTGGAATCCCATAAGATCTCAATGAAATCCTAAAAGGAACCCGATGGAGTCCTTAGGATCCCCATGCAATCCTGCACAGAATCCCGATGGAACCTTGTAGGCTCCCGAGTCCGGATCCTTCAAGAACTGTATGGATTACAATAAGATCCCCACGGAGTCCTATAAGATCCCGATGGACTCCAATAGGGGCCTTAATGGCATCCTATCGGGCCCCATATGGGATCCCATGGGATCTCTTCGAAATCCGATTACAAAAATATTTCGATTGCGATCAAATTCCGGCCCCAAAAGAAGACGGATTACATGAGGGTTCCGGTTGCAATGGGACCGCAAAACCAAAGCCCAAACCTCACGGGCCCAGGCGTGACCCTAGTAGTCATACTAATACGAATAGCAACAATAGTAGCAAGAGTCGTAGTAGTAGTAATAATAATACTCCGGGTAATAATCATAACAATGTTGATAACAATAGTAGTAGTGGAAATATTAAAAGTAACAGTCGTAGCAGTAGTAGTAGTGGTAGCAGTCGTAGTAATAATAATAAGAATCGCGGTCGTAATAGTAATAATCGTCGAGGCAGTAGTAGACGCAGCAGCAGCAAAAGTAGTACTAGTAGGGTGGACCTTACTCTGTTTGCCCCAGGGAGCCTCTGGGATCTCTTTGGGTCCCTGGTGTTCTGGGGCTCTTTTGGGCGTCCTCGAAAACTTCTTGGGCGTCCTGGGCGCCCGAGAAGGCCTCCAGGATGCCGTATGGTAACCGCATGGTGTTCATATGGTACCCTTATGGTTTTCATGTGGCACTCCGTATGGTTTCTTGTGGTTTTCAAATGGTACTCTTATGGCTTTCATCTAGTAATCTGATTGCTCCCGTGTGGTAACATGATGGTTTTCGTATGGCAATCGTATGGATTATGTATGGTGGTCGTATGGCTTCCGTATGGTAATCGTATGGCTTCCGAATGGGAGCCGCATGGCTTGCGTATGGTACTCGTGTGGTGTTCGTATGGCTTTCGCATTGTAGTATGATGGTGTTCGCATGGTTGTCGCATGGCTTTCGCGTGGTAATCTTACGGTTGTCGTATGGTTTTGCATACGGCACGCCTTCTGGTTTTCATATGGTACTCTTATGGTTTTCATATGGAACCCTTCTGGTCGATTGTATGGCTTTCGTGTGGGAATATGATGGTGTTCGTCGGGTGTTCTGATGGTATCTTTATGTTCTGATGGTATCCTTATGGTTCTCGCATGGTACGCATTTTGTTGTCGCGTGGTATTCGCATGGGTTTCGCATGGTATTGCGATGGTTTTCGTGTGGTTCTTGCATGGTAGCCGTATGGTTGCCGCATGGTTCTCACATGGTAATCCTATGGCTGCCGTGTGGTGTTCTATGGTGTTCGTATGGCTTTCGCATGGTAATTTCATGGTTTCCGTCCGGTTTTGGAATTGTACTATTCTTGTTTTCGCAATGTTAAACTACGGCTTTCGAGTGGTAATCGTATGACTTTCGCATGCTGTCCGTAAGGTTTGCCGATTCGTTCCGCATGGTACTCTTGTGGCTTTCACCTTGTAACCGTGTAGTTTTCGTATGGTGATCTTATGGTTTTCGTATGGCTGTCGCGTGGTAACACTTATTCTTCACATGGAAAATTTACGGTTTTCGCATGATATTCGCATGGTGTTCGCATGGTGATCTTATGATGTTCGTATGGTAATATTATGGTTGTTGCCTGGTAGTCTTATGGTTTGCGTCCGGTAACCGCATGGTTTTCGCATGGTACTCGTATTGTAATATGATGGTGTTGGTATGGTAGTCCTTTGGTTTTCCAGTGATAATCTATGGTTTTCGCATGGCAGTCGTATGGCGTTCGTATGGTAATCGTATGGTTCTCGTATGGTAGCCGTATGGTTTTCGTGTGTTGGCAATGGCGTAGTTTTCGGGCGCGGCGGTTCTCCCCTCAAGGTCCCCACCGCCTACCCTGGTTCTTCCATGGAGTAAACTGGGCAAACAGAAAAAAAGGTCAGCCCCACTAGTACTACTAATCGGCATAGGAATAGTAGTCGCCGTAACAATAGTGGCAGTAGTATTAATAGTAGGGGTGATCGTTGTAGTCGTAGTAGTAGTAGTAATAGTAGTAGTAGTAGTAGTAGTAGTAGTAGTCGTAGCAGTAGTAGTAGTAGTAGTAGTAGTAGTAGTAGTCATAGTCGTTGTTGTTGTTGTAGAGGTATCAGTAGTAGTGGTAGTAGTCGCAGTGGTAGTGGTAGTGGTAGTGGTAGTGGTAGTAGTAGTAGTAGTAGTAATAATAGTGTTTCGATTCAAAAAAAAACGGAGTAGCAGCAATCGTAGTAGTAGCAGTAGTAATACTAATCGAGCAGTAGTCAGCGTAGTTGCATTCGCAGTAGTAGTAGTAGTAGTAGTAGTAGTAGTAGTAGTAGTAGTAGTAGCGGTCTGGAGAAGTAGTAATAGTCGGACGAGTCGTACACATAATGGTCTTCTTATTACTATTACTAATAGTAGTAGTCGTAGTCGTAGTAATGGTATAGGAGTAGTAGTGGTAGTAGTAGTAGTAGTAGTGGTAGTAGCACTAATAATCGAGTAGTGGTAGTCGTAGTAGAAGAAATGCTAGCCGTAGTCGTATTAGTAGCTGTAGTGGTGTGAAGTAGTAGTAGTAGTAGTCGAACGAGTCGTAAAAAATATTATCAATGATAGTAGTAGTTGTAATAATAGTAGTAGTAGTAGTAGTAGTCGTAGTAGAAGTAGAATAGTAGCAGTAGTGGCAGTAGTAGTGGTAGTATTCGTAGTAGTCGTAGTAGCTGATGAAACATCAGTCGTCGTCATCGTCGTCGTCGATTTACTTGTCGTCGCGATCGTAGCACTAATAATCGCAGCCGTAGTAGTAGGAGTAATGGTAGTAGTACCAGTAGTAGTCGTAGTAGTAGTAGTAGTAGTAGTAGTAGTAGTAGTAGTAGCAGTAGTAGTAGTAGTAGTAGTAGTAGTAGTAGTGGTGGTGGTGGTGGCAGTATTAATGAGAATGGATAACAATGGTGGTAGAAGTAACAGTCGTAGTGGTATCAGCAGTAGTAGTTGTTGTACTACTCGTAATAGCCGTATTAATAAAACTAGCACCCAGAGTAGTAGTAGTAGTAGTAGTAGTAGTTGTAGTAGTAGTAGTAGCAGTAGTAGTAGTAGTAGTCGTAGTGGAAGCAGAAGAAGAAGTCGTAGTAGTAGTACTAGTAGTAGTAGTAGCAGCAGCAGCAGTAGTAGTAGTAGTAGTAGTAGTAGTAGTAGTCGTACGCGTAGTCGTAGTCGTGGTCGTAGTAGTAGTAGTAGTAGTAGTAGTAGTAGTAGTAGTAGTAAGGAGTAGTAGTAGTAGTAGTAGTAGTAGTAGTAGTCGTAATAGTAGTAGTAGTAATAGTAGTAATAGTAGTAGTAGTAGTAGTAGTAGTAGAAATAGAAGTCTTAATAGTAGTGGTCGTAATCGTAATAGTAGTAGTCGTCGTCGTAGTAGTAGTAGTAGTAGTATTAGAACTAGTACGGATCGCAGTTACAGTCGCATGTGAAATCGTAGTTTTACTGAAAATGCAAATGATCGAGGTTTGCTTGGGGCTCCAGAGGAGTGCTCAGCACTGGCCGAGTGCCATGGTGTCATGTTAAAACTTAAGGGTGTTTGGTGCGTTTCCCGCGAAAACTGCATCGTCGAAATCCACGGCGTGCTCGTCAAAAAGCGTGGGCACACCCGAATTCTGGTGCACTCGAGACTTACGTTTCCCCAGAAGTGGCCCCAGGCCCCTCCTGGGGGCCAGCTGGCCAGCCCGGCCAGTTTTCCGAGCTGCGTCCAGCCGTGGCGGCGAGAACGTCCAGACACGCCTTGGGGAGCCTCCAAAACGAAAGCCCCGACGACGACATCGACGATCGTCGCCGTGGTCGGCGTCACGTGCGCGCCCCTGGGCGCCTCTGGATCTCGAAGAGCGTGTGCCAGTCACTGCGGAAGTCGTCAACGGCGCCGGTCGGGCCGCAGTCCACCGCGCGCAGCCGGCTGAGCAGCTCCTGGTCACCATGGTCCCCCCTGCGACGCGCAAGCAGGATGCCAACCTCCACCCGCCTGAGCCAAGGAGTGTTCTCGTGGAACCCCAGGCCGAGCTCGGAGAAGATCCCTTCCAGCTCCCGGCGGAGCTCTCGGAGGATGGCGCGGCCCTTCTCGATCTTGGACTCCTCCTTCCAGCGCTTCTCGCTCCAGCCAAGCCGGTCAAGTATTGACAGCTCGTCCTTCAGGTCGTTGACGAATCTCTTGTTCTTGATGGCTGCCTCCGCCTTGCGCCTGCAAGCAGACTTGCGCTTTCTCGGCTCCTCGACACACTGGAACCTCATGGCAGAGAAACGCCCCGTTCTTGCGCCACACATCCAGACGCCACGGAACTGCCCATCGCCCTCTGAAACAAAGTGCTCGCTGCGGTAGACGTAAAGCTCGCTGCCGTGTGGGTCCCGGTGCTCCAGTCTGAGCTGGCAAGGCTTGGGGGTGCGCAGAGGCACTGGCGACTCCGAAGGATGTGATTTGCAAAGGATGTGGTTTGCAAACGGCTCCTTGGGGGGCATCCTGGGGGGCGGGCAGGGATATCGACAGAGCTCTCCGCCGCGCCCCGAGGAGGCCCGATGAGGACAACGTCCTACCCCCAAGGCCTCCATGGCGCCGAGCGGAATCCACACCCCGGCGTAACCACACCCGTTGTAGTCGCCGAAGACAGCCCCCGGAGGTAGTCCAGGCCGGCCTCAACGGGACCCCAGGGGCAGCCCAGGGCGGCCGCACCATCCCAACCAAGCATCTCGGATAAGCGCCGACGAAGCCGGCGCGGGAGCGCTGAGGCCGCCCTAGTCTACAGCATGTAGCGCCCCGCAGTTGCGGATAAGAGCGATGGGGAAGGCGCGGGGCGCGTCGCATGTGCTGCGGGGTGGGTTGAGGGTGGTTTGCGAGGTGGGTCGCGGGGGGAATCCCGGGGGGGTCGCGGGGGGGTCGCAGACGAGGACGACGACAACACCAACAGACAACAACAACAGCAGCAACAGCAACAGCAACAACATCAACAACACCCCAAACATCACCAACAACCCCATCAACAGCAACCACAACAATAATAACAGCAGCACCAAGACAGCAACAACACCAACAACAACACCAACAACAAACCATCAACACTAATTTAACGACTGTTCGCACGTATCTGCTCGCATGCAATTCCACACATCCCAACAGCTCGATATCCGACCTCTTCGTCTTCGATCGGACCCTCTTGGGGGTATACCTTTCGTACCTGCAACGTGTATTTCGTGCAGCGCCTAATTCAGGGGAAGAGAGGACGGATGGAAGGAAGGGACAAAGGGGAGGGAGGAGGATGGAGCACGAGCGAGAGTAGCAGGAGGGGGGCTAGGAGCAGAAAAACACGTGGCAGAACCAGACGGGCAGATCGGGCGGGTAGACCCTGACAGGCGGGTCGGGAAGGCGGGCAGCGTGATTCCTGAGTGTCGAGAGCGCGGCGTTTGAACAAATTGCGAAGAAATCCTACGCGAGAGCGCGATTCCTGTACACATGGTGAGGAAGTCCAGCGCGAGAACGCGATTTGGGAATGCATTGTCAGACAGTGTCAGGCGGGAGCCGTTGTTGTTGTAAACCGGGTGCCAGGGGCGCAGTTTGGTGGCACCTCGTTTTCCCGTGAAAAAAACAGGGTGCGAGCCCTGGGAGAAGCACTGTATTTGAACATTGTAACGGTTACCAGTGAGGGGGGTCAACCAACAACAATTCTTCTGCAGAGATGAACTGCCAACGACAGACAAGAGTCCGGGCCACGGCGTCCCGCTTCAGCCACGCATCCAAAGACAGTGAGTGACCGCTCGGCCCCTCACTCTGATATACATACGTAGAATAAGATACGGCGCTCGGGATTGCTGTAAGACATCCAAAGGCACACTGTAATTACGCAAGCGTGTAAATTCAGGGGCACCACGAGACTCCAATGGGGCCCCCGGGCAAATCGGGAAATCGGAGGTCCTTGGGACCCCGGCTGGCACGACGGCCTCTTCTCTGAGGTGCCCGCTGCAGCCTTCGGGCTGCCTGCGCGCGGCCCGAAGTCCTGCCAGGTCTGAGCGCTGCCTTCGTCACCTCACCCTCGAGCTCTATGTCGGAGCCCTTCCTGCCACTGCTGCCGCTGCCGCAGCCGGCGCCGTCGAGGCCAGCGGCACCCTCGAACGGGGACAGGCGGCCCGTGATCCGCACCTGCGCGGCGCCTCCTCCGTCGAGGCCCTCCGGGAAGTGTAGCGCGAGCCGGAAATCCTCGAAGTGCCCGGGCCCCTCGTCGGTGTAGCGGCGGAGCTGCCAGGCGCTCTGGTGCTGCTCACCGTCTGCGCTCATCAAACGAAGCGCCTCATTCGCGCCCCGGGCGGCTCAAGTGGCGCTTTGGGCCTAAAGTGGCCTCGGAGCGTGGAAGGGCAGGAGGAGCACCGCGGCGACCGAGGACCGAGGACGGCACAGGCAGCACTCCTGGCGGCCGCGCGCCAAACACCACAAGCGCAGGCGCCGAGTACCATCGCAGGGCACAGGGCTCGCCACGGCACACTGCACCCTGCTCGCGCTAGCACGACGGGGAGGCAGCGATGGTGGCGCAGAGCTCAGGGGACGGACGCGCGGGAACCACCTTGCAGAATTGAGCGTCACCGCATCAATTGCCTGCCCACTGGTGCCTTGTGCCCTGGGCGAATCTCCTTCGCGGACGCACTGACCCAGCCCGGGTCAGTCGGGCTCTGCAAAATCCTACGAAGTCCTGCAAGATCCTGCAAGATCCTGCGCCCCAGGTCAATGAAACCCTGGCGCTACAGGATCCTGCAAAGTCCCGGTGCTCAGGACGACCCCCGTTTGCACTGACCCCAGTCCCAAGGCTCCCGACACCTCCTCCGAATGCGTCTCCGGCGCCGCCGTCACGCAAACAACCAGCTCACACCCAACATTATCTACACGTGTAATGCGTCGCCTAACTTCGCCCCTAACGCCTCGCGCTACAACCGCGAGGCGCGTTCATCACCGATATCTCCCGCCGATGACACGTGGGAGCGACACCTGGGGGCGAGACACGGGGGCGACACCTGGGAGCGACACCCGCAGGCAAATTTGCCTTCGCCCGTGCCGCCCCCCCCTCGGCGCGGGGTCAAGGACCCCAAGGATGCGCACTGGCGAGGATGATCGCATCAATCACGTCCTTGCGAGGCCTGCCCTCCAGATTGCCTTGCAAGCATGTTCAAGAAGAACACGCGCAGTGCCGAAGGCTAGAGCCATAGTGTGCACGCAGCGAGAAGGATCAGAAATAAAGCAAGGTCGCAAAGAAGAGGAGCGCGACGATAGGATGACGGCAAAAGTGAACGCAGGATCAAGAGGAACAGCTAAACCCTAGTTAGCAGCAGACAGGTCCGACGTAGAATGACACCTGCTTCCTCCACCTCCCTCCCCTCATGCTTTTACAAGCTGCGGAAGAGAAAGCTCTGATCCTAGCAACCAAACGAACTATATTTAGATTGCGAGGCTAAAGATCTGACCCACCATTCGGTTGGTGGATGAAGCCTTCCCCTCCTTGAGCAGCTGAAGGGTCGATGGCGTCCTGGTTGCGGGGAGCGCCGCGACACGGCTCTCCCCAAAAACGAAGCCTCGAATAGCCGAAAGCCGCATACGACGAGCACCAGACAAGCGAAGTCCCCATCAGCCAGGGCCTGTGCGTCCTATGCGCGAAACTGGCCCGACAGGGCGGGGGGGGCGCACAAACCACCACACAAGCTACCTTCTCCGAAGTGATAGCCTGACCCGCCTTGCCAACTGCCTGCGCCACGTGCCCCTGAGGGTCGGAGACAAGGAACATAAGGTCGAACGTCGGACGGCGGGCCTTCTTCACATGCTGGACGTTAGGCAGATCGAGCTTGCCAAGGTGCCGTCCGAACGAACCCTGGAGCTCGGCCACGCGGGCCAACCCGTCGCTTCTAGCTGCGCGCCCCTGCTGCAGGACGGGGCGGGCCGTGTGCTCCTAGGCACCATGCTGGGCAGGCGTGTCGGCAGATGTCTAGCCGAACCAAGGAGGGCCCCTGGAAAGTCCTAGCGCACGTGCTCCAAGAAATGTGGGCCTTGATCTGCCTGAGCTCGATATGCTCGAGCCAGGATTCGGAGGCAACGCAGAACGACTCGCTCCAGAGCTCCGAGAAAGGCGGCCCCCGAGCGATCGAATTCGGGCCTTTGGAACCACACATCTGACACGGCCTGACAACCTGAGTACATGACAAGAGATCCAGGGGCAGCTAGGCGGATAGCCATGGGCAGGGCAATTCTCTCCCCACCACCACTCCTCTGGAGAGGATGGGGACGAGGCCCGTGCACGCTACCGTCTGACCCCCCACACTTCCCCCACACTTCCTGCATGCTGGCCACCGCCCAACCCGCCCTGGCCGAGAAAGGGTTGTCCTGGTCGAGGCCCGACCCGTCAGCTCACAAACGAGGACCAACCAAAGCAGACCGGGGCCTGCGGTGTCACGCGCTGGCTCTAGCCATGGTAATGGCAAGCCAGTCGGCGCCCTGGTCGGGGAGGGGGTGGTGAAAAGATCCTGGTCATGCCTACTCTCGGCGGCGAGCAAGAAGGGGAAACGATGATGGCAAAGCCTTCCGAGAAGGTGGCGGGACTTCTCAGAAACCCTCGGGCCTTCTGAAAAGTTGCCCGTGTCTCCGGGGAAGGCAGAACACTTCTCAGAAGGCCAGGGGTCTTCCGAGCCTTCTGAGAAGGCCCGCTCCTTCTCACTTCTCAGTGATGAGGGGGGTCCAGGTCGAAGTCGCAGCGGCAGAGGCAGAAACCGTCAGACTCGTAGAACCGATGCCGAGGGGCCCAGAGTTTTTCACCACAGACTTTGCAGCCCAGAGCGTTGCCCTCCCCGCTCGTCCTCGCTCGCTGCTCGCCGTCCTCGCTCGCCACCCCTCACCGCTCGCTCGCCGCTCGCTGGCCCCTCGCTCGCTCGCCCCGAGCCCGGCCGCGGGGGCGGCCGCGGGACATGCTGCTCGGCGGCGGAGAGGCCCACAGCAGGCTGGCCTCTCGGGCGCCGCAGGCCGGGGGGCCGCCGCCGCCGACGAAGGCCGCCGCGGCCTCTCCGACGACGTGGTGCTGCTCGGTCCCGGCGTGCTCCGCTCCTCGGCCCCCTCTCCGACCTCTGCAGCCGTCGCGCCACCACAGGGGGCGCCGATGGAGGAGCGGCGAACGGGGCTGCTCTGGCCACGGCGAGCCACGCCCACGGACGGGTTCTACGACGAGAGAGCCTGGCCCCTCGACAGCGCACCCTGACGCCGCCACCTGGCGTTGCAGGCGCTGCTCGAGTCTGCTCGAATCGCCATCCCAGATCTGCATCGTTGCACGGCCCTCTTCCTGAACGCCCTGAGCACGCCCTGCTTGCAGCACGCCGCCGGAGCCTGGGCCGCTGCACGCCGCTGCACGCCGCCGCAAGACGTGCATAGTCTGAGGCGGACGCCTTCCTCTCACCTCCCTCCGCGGCGGCCGCCCTTACCCTCTGCTTCCCTCATAACAGTGCATCGGCTATTTTTCCACCGAACAATCCTTTGCCCCACAAAAGGGCAAACACTGCACCCACCGACGAGCAGAAGCAACTTCCACGCAACGGCAGTGCTCTATGGAGGCCGGCCGGATAAAATGATCGTCACAACGCTTGGGGGGAGGAGGGAGAGGAGAAGGGGGAGGAGGAGGAGGAAGAGGAGGAGGAGGAAAATAAAAAAAGTGCGTCAGTCTGCTGCACAATAGCCCTGTGCCCGCCCAATCGATCCGCGCGAGCGACAGGCGATCCACACAAAAGTTGTGCTCTTCGCTCCCGGCTTTCCCAGAAACCCTGCGGCGGCTCGAACGGCTCGAGAGGTTCACTGTTCCGCCACTTCGCGGTCGCAGGGAGACCTGGAGGTCAACTGTCGGGCCCCAGGACCGTCAAAGAACGACGATTCGGGATGAAAAGTCGGCGTGGGGGAAGGGCCCCCATACGTCGCAACGATTTCGTGACGTGGGCAACCAGGGATCTCGACCCCTTCCCGCGGGCCAGCTTGCCATCCTGAGCCGATTTGGATGGACGGCACGTTTTGAGACCGGTCGGCCGCTGCCAAGGGCCAGACTACCTCAGGGCGAATCTTCCCAGAGGCCCGTTACCGTCGGTCGTCGTCGTCGACGCCGTCGCTCGTATCCGTCGCCCCGCCTCCGACGATCGTCGCCGTCGCCACGGACTCATCGTCGTCTGCGTCGGTCGTCCTCCTTCGTCGTCGACTTTGTCATCTTCGCCGTCGGCGTCGCTCGTCGCCGTCGCCGTCGCTCGTCGGCGGTCATCGGTCCTCGCTCATCGGTCGTCGTCGTCGTCGTCGTCGTCGTCGTCGTCGACGCCGTCGACGTCGTCGTCGTCGTCGCCGTCGGTGGCTGCCGTCGGACGTCGAACCGCAGTCGTCGCCGTCGGAGTCATCGCGGCGGCCCTGGAGCGCCCCTTCGCTGGCATGACCGTAGCAGCGCTCCGGATGAAAGCCGCGATTCCCCCAGGGGTCTGGGTCTGGGTCGTCCCTGGGATCCGCCGTTGCGAATGTTTGCTTGACCAAAAAGGGGGTCCAGCTGAAAGGGGGTGGTGCAATAGGTTTGGGGCAATTGTTTTGCAAATGTATTGCGCCAGAGAACTGTATTGCATTGTGTTGCAACGAATGTATTGCACACGAAACCCCAGCAATACATTTGCGCACTACTGGAGTGTATTGCACGCCCCAAATCCATTGCAACCCTAAAAACCTATTGCACCAAATCTGTCGCACCACCGCCTTATCGCTGGACCCCCTTTTGGGTCAACCAGAGAATAACAACACAACAAGTTAGCCAGCGGGGGCCACAAACAATATTGTTTCTTGCGGGCGGCGACGGGCGGCCACGAGCCGGCCTACACCGACGCTGGGGCCAAGTTGCCTTACCGACGCATGGCGGCGACGTGCGGCGACGGGCGCCACGGGCCGGCGAGACCGACACCGGGGCCCAATCACTGCAGAAGAGAAGTAGCGACCCCGGAGTGCAAGCACTGCGTAGAAGATGGCGAACACTCGCGACGCGAGCCATGTACCCCCATCTTTCTGCGGTTTCTCGAGCTGGATCGATCTGCGAGGGCCCCGGGACCCGAAAACGGGCGACAACGCCTGGTGTGGAAACAGTGCGACGCCGTGGACCTCATGCAGGGCAAAGCCAGGATCGTGACGAAATCGGATCGCGATTATTCAATCAGGGAGCTCTGAGCTCTGGCGGCTCTGGGGGATGCACCGGGCGCTGCGGTCGCTTCCGAGCGTCCTGGAACGTTCTGCGGCAGTGCTGGGACGCTCTGGAGCGACCCGCCCCGATCCTGGGCCTGCCTGGTCATACAGTGCGGGCGCGGCCGCAACAAGAAACCCTCGCAAGAAACCCAACCCTGAGAACCCGCGCGCGACGTACATCTGAGGGGAAACCCAGAGCACCCTGAACGCAGCAGCTCCTTCAACGGCTGCGGGAAGTCACCGCGCAGCGCGCGGAGCGAAGAAACCCAGGATACCCTGACGAAAAAAGCAGATGGTTTCTCTGGATGCGCGCCCCCACTGCATGGGGTCCTCCTCCTCGATCTCCTCGGTGTCCGGGCGGGGGCCCCTCGCCCAGGCCCGCCTGGCTCGCGGGGCGCGCCTGGCTGGCCCCGCGGCGGCCCCAGAACTGCGTCGGGCCCGCGGTGGCGGGGGGGGAGAGCGCCTGGGCGGAGGGCCGGCGCGGCGACGGGACCGTCGTCGTTCGTCGAACGCGGACCATGGTTCCCAGGCGAGCAGCGAGGATGAGGATCGATGGTCTTTGAACGTTGATCGAAGATCGAAGACTGGGGCCGTCGTTGATCGTTGATCGAGGCCTCCGGTCTGTCCAAAAACCTCCATGCAGCAAAGACCTCTGGAGGCCTCTGCAGAGGCCCCTGGGAGGAGACGGAGGAAGATTCTCATCAAGCCCTCACATCCTGCCCCTCCACCACTGATCAAACTTAGAATCCTGCCTCTCAACCTCACTCCCTATTGTGGCAGGTGAAAAGGATACAAGAGAAGACAACAAATAACGAGGCGGGAGGGAACGCGAAGAGGAAACGTGAGAACACCACAGACACCATCTCAAACTACAAGATCTGGCGCCTGTCGCATTCAAAATGAACAACAGCAGCAAGAGAAGCACAGCAGGTAAAGAAGCGTGCGTACGAGAGTAGAAAAGAGAGAGAGAGAGAGCGAGAGCGAGAGCGAGAGCGAGAGCGAGAGAGAAGGACGGGTGATTTGCGAATGTGTGGAGCAGCCCACCATCACGGCGATGTCCCTATCCCTTCCACGTGTCTGTGTGTGTTCGACTGGCAACACCCGCTGCGTAGTCTTACAAGGCGGCCCAATAGATACCAGCGTAAGCTCATACGTGCTTGATAGTAGCGCTCCTAGGCAGCTCTAATCTCCAGCTCGGGTGAGCAATTCGTGTTTCGAGCGGTTTCAAACCTAAGGTGTCCGACTTTGCATACGCGGGGCCGGTCTAGGGTGAGATGTTCGGGTCGTCACGGTAGTTGCCTGGAAAATGCATTACCCTGCCATGCGTATGGTTGCAACCCACCGTGTCGTGCGCGATCCAAGCTTTCTGCCTCCTTGGCGAGCACCCTGCCGAAGCAAGCGCAGCTTTGGTTCCAGGGACCCTGTTTCCTCCTGAACTGTCGAGATACGGGGCGTGGGAGCGCTGGCAGAAGTGCTGCCTCCACCGGCAAACTCAAGCCCTCGATTGTAAGGCGGCCTGGGGGTCTGAAGTGGATGGGCCCCAAGAAAACCCGCCGACCTTGTCGGCGTGTGTGAAGGGTTTGTCTGTCCGAGTCGTCGTCTCCGCCAGTCGTCGTTTCCGTCGTCCCCTTCCCCTGCACGCTCCTCTTCAAGTCTGTCAGCGGAGAGGAAAATCTAGCAATGACGTAATCGAGTCGAAGGGAAGCCCCTTGCCGTTGATCCCCTCCCGGTCCGGGGGGGGTCCCTCCTGTGGGGTGTCACGGGGGGGTTCCCAGGGGGGGCCCGGGCCGGGGTAGGGAGGGGAGAGAGATGGGGGGTTCAGATACGCATTCCCCCTGGGGGTGCCGAAGCCCAGAAAATACCGAGACAGGCCACGAGTGCCCCAAGAAGCCCCCGAGACGGTCCAAGAGGGCACCCAATCGCTCTCACGCTCTCCACGCTGGCCTCCAATACGCCGCAAGAAGCCTCCAAGAACACACCCGAGAGGGCCCCAAGAGGCAAAATGAATATATGTCACTGGAATTGTGACGGGGTTGGGCATTTTCGTCGTTTCCTCTTCCCGCCGCTCCAAGACGGCCCAGGAGGCCCCCAAGATCGCCCAAAAAGTGCCAAAGAGGCCTCCAAGAGGGCCCCAACACAGCCCAAGAGGACCCTAAGGCAGCCCAAAACGCCTCAAGACGACCCAAGAGCCCTCAAAGACAGCTCTCAGAGCGTGCCCAGACGGGGCGGGGTACCCGAATGGACATTTCGAACCCTCGGCCCCGAGAGGCTCCAAGGAGGCCCCAAGAGGTTCCCAAGAGGCCGACACGAGGCCCCCAGGAAGCCCAAAGAGGCCCCCAAGAGGATCCCAAGAGGCTCCCAAGAGGCCCATCAACGCCTCTACAGAGGCCCCCGTGAGCCTTCCGAAGAGATCCCCAGAACCATCCCTGAGGACTCTGGCCCACATCAGCGTCGTCGTCGCCAGTCGTAAGACCTCCGCAAACGGTCAAGAAGGGGGGAGGATGCCAAATCTGCTCGAAATCGATCCCTCGACCCCTCCCAGGAGTTGCTCTGACCCTGATTTTCGCCCCGGATCCGTTGTTGACGGTCCTCGGGCCCCAAACCGACCCCAGATACAGAAAAAGTTTAAAAAATTGTGTACAAGAAAAGGCATCGAAGCCAGAACCTCGAACCTTGCCCCCTTTCCTGCTGGCCGGAACCAGTCAGCCTTCATGGGAGCCTCTGTGGACCTCCGCGGTTCCATTATGAGTATGGTTTCGAAAAGGTTTCGTCCAGATACCGACCGCCACTCTTAACCACTTCGTGCTGTTTCGACCACAATTCGTCTAGATTTCGTCCACATGTCGACCGAATCTAACGACATCCAGACGAAATCCAAACGAAAACCCCAGAACCGTCAGGAATGGTGGGACCCTCTGAGGCTCTCACGAATGACCACACAGTGATGGGCCACCTCAGACCCCCGGCTAGCTCCACTTCTCGATCCTCGATCCATTTTTTTCCAACGCGTCAGCCCTGGGTCAGTTCTGGATCGAGCTCAGACCCCGCCTCTGGTAGCCGCGGCGGCGCCAACTACCTCGAGGGCAAGGTTTCAGACGAGACAACCACCAGTTGCAAGGGCGAGGCAAGGTCCTCCTGGTGGTGTGGCCGCCCGGTCCTGCGGCGCCCCGCTCGAGACACCACCTCCGATCTCCACCCGAACAGAATCGTGGACCTCTGTGGAGGTGGCCCGCTGTCGGTGATGCCGCCTTGTTGAAGGTCGCCCACACTGAGGTCGGAGTAAATGAGGTCCAGCGATCGTGTCGCATTGCCGATGCATCGGCGATGCACGCAACGTCTCGCCGTCGTCGCAGAGGTGGCCGTCGTCGCCGTCGCCGTCGCCATCGACGTCGTGGCCGTCGTCGCCGCCACCGTCAGCTTCTCGTCGCCGCCGTCGCCGTATTCGTCGCTCGGCCGCCGAGGTTCTAGACTCGAGGATCGGGATCCTGTTCGGCGTCTCCAGGCCCGATCTGAGCATCGCTGATCTCAGCTGCCCCGATACGCAGCACGCAACACGTGGCGTGTTGACACAAAGCTCAACACGTAGACTTGAAACGTAGGCCTGGCGCGGTGCATTCGCCAAAACGTGGGCCAAGACGTGGCGAACCAACACGCAGCGTGTTGACACGGAAGTCTTGAACACGGCAGGCGTTGCGTTCCAACAAGGGCGGCTTCGGTGTAGCTAAGTCGCTGAGGCGTCTCGTCGCCGCGGCAGGACTCCACGCGGAACCCGGGTGAAGATGAACCCTTGGAGAGATCCAGGGGTCGATTTGGGGAACCGAGCCGGTAGCCGTCGCCCCCCGCCCTTTCCACGCGTCGTCGCCATCGCCGCAGCTGCCGCCGTCGTCGTGGTCGATGCCTTCCGTTTGCGGGCGGGTTCTCTGGGGGTTCTCGCGGTCACGGCTGGTCGCGGCTCGGAAAACGAGCCAGGATAAGGAATAAGGAATGAGGATGGAGGAATAAGGGAGGAGGGGGAAAGGGGAGCAGGAGAAGACGCGGAAGCTGAGGAGCATGGCAAGGGCGGGGAAGGCGACCAGGAGAGACTGATGGTGATAGCAGTGGCAGCTGTAGTTGTAGTTGTAACTGCAGTTTTTGTGATTGTACTTTCAGGGGCACCTTAGTTGTGACATTGCAGTGGTGATTGCAGCTGTGGTGCTGCTAATCCTGCCCCCCCAGTTCCACCTTGGAACGCCCTCCCCTCCTTCCTTTCCTTCCAAGCAGCAGGAGCAGGAACCTCATGAGGGGAGGGGGGACCCAGCCGAATCAATTAACCCCTCGCGCGGCTCCAGGGCGAGGCAGGGAAAGAGGGAGGAGGGGCAAGGACAAGATTACCCCTGGATGCGGAGCGGCGCGCCGGAGAAGGAGGAACGCTCGCTCGCGCGTCGGCCGCCTTTCTGGCGCTCGCCCGCGAGCCCGCCTCCACACCCCAGACCCCCGACGCGCTTTTGGTCCTGTTCGCGGAGCAGGGGCCTTGGAGGTCCCAGCCCTTAGGAGGCGACGCCTGAGAGGTCTTCGTCAAAACGACTGAGGGCTACTGAGCCCCATGAAAAAGCCACCGAGCTGGACAGAGCCAGATGAAGCCCAGGATTGAAACTGATTAAGCGGGAATGGCCCAAACTAAGCGGGATTAGCCCGGCTTCAGCGGGATCAAGTCCAATCCCACCAGCCCTCTGGGCGCAAGTTGTCTAGAGCGCTTCCGTTTCCAACCTCCTTCCTTTCCCTTCTCGGGAAGTGTACCTCCCCCCCCTCCATGGGTCTGGAAGGGGGGGACAGCCGAGGGGTTAGAGCGTCCAAGATGGTCCAAGATAGCTCCAAGAGGGTTTTAGATAGACCAAGATGGCCTCCAAGATGCCCCAAGATACTTCGAGATGGCTCAAGACAGCCTCCGACACGCATCCAAGAAGCCCCGAGACGGCCCCCAGACTGTTTCAAGTGCCCTCCGAGCCCACCAAGGAACCTCCCCAAGAGGCCCAAATTGGTTCAAAACGTACGGAACATCAATGTTTTGTTGCCTTTTCGCTTTTTCGCTGCCGATGGGTTCTTGAGGCGTCAAGATGGCCCCAAGATGGCCCAACATAGCCCAAAGAGAGGCTCAAAAGGGCCCCAAGACGGCCCCAAACGCGCCCAAGAGCACCCCAAGAGCGGTCCAAGAGGGCCTCAAGACATCCCTTTCGGGCCTCCGAGGGGGGGACCTAAATTTAAGATCCCTCTCTTTTCTGAGCCAAGGGGTCCAAGACGGCCCTGAGAGGCCTCCCAGACCCCCCCAAAGAGCCCCAAGAAGGCTGGGAGCTCTTGGGGTCCTCTGGGGGCCAGAGATCAAGGATGCATATGGGGGTGCGACTCTCAACTGTGCGGCAAGGGCGACGAATGATAGATTCAGTCACCTGCGCAAGAGACGCTTACCTCAGGGAAAACCCCGGCGTATATTGCACTGGCTTCCATCTTAAACTTCGCTGCGGGAAGCTATGTGTGATCCTTGTTTCTCATGGCCCAGGGTGGGTGCAGCCACCTGCGCTAGAGGCGTTTTACACGGGGGGCACCACGTCGTATCTCGCACTGATTTACATGTAAATGCGGAAGTAAAACCGCTTTCGACCAGCGATTTACCAGCGCCGATTCAGAATCAAACCTCCCAGGGGTTGCTCCCTGACGGCCCTCTACCAAGGGGACCGGCCCTTTGCGCCGCGAGCCACTCTCTTGACTGCCACAGGCAGAACGAGAAGTCAAATACGACTGGCTCAGGTTCCGCAAGCACTCAGGAGTACGGTAGGTTCGTGCGGCGTCGGCGCGCGCAAGGGTTTGTCACACCTCGTCGATCGTTCAACCTTGAATCGATCGCGGCCCAAATCGTTCAAAAGTGAATGTGGCTTGGTCCAGTGGCGTTACCGTGTCCTTCGGTGCTTCCGCGTCGCAGAATACCTTGGACGCCTTCGCTGGCGTCGCTGGCGCGCCAACATCGTATGAACCTGCCGTATCAAGCGGCCCTCGTCTCACGGCCGCGGCGATCGCCTCGGGCAGCTGGTGACCTGTGCGGCGAAGGGCGCCAAGGGCCGCTCGCAACCCACGATTCGTCGCTGCCTCTCCTGCAAGCACCACAGCGTATCTCGGGGATCTACTGACCCGAGTCAATGCATACCCGGGTCAGTCAGGCTTTGCAGGATCCTGCAAAATCCTGCAAGATCCTGCAGGATCCTGCACCCTCATCTGGGTCAGTGCAGCCCTGGCTCTGCAGGATCCTGCAAGATCCCGCGCTCTGGCAGACCCCCGTTTGCATTGACCCCCCTCTCGAAACTCCCGAAAATCCGTATCCGCGGTCTCGCTTGCCGGGCCCCTGGGCCGCACCCGTGCGACGGAGCCCCCAGACCGCGAGGGTGCGGATACGGATAAGTCCGCCACTGGCGATGAACAAAAATTGCCCTGGCGATGTACCCAACCCCTGCGCAATGCGGGGCATGAACAGCTTGGGAAACATTATACGGAGGTGATGACGTGACATGGGCGCGTGTACTTCTGAGACCGGCATTCGTGAGGCTCGCAGCCCCCCAGGGATTGCGAGGTCCCGCTCAGATCTGCGTGGTGCCTCGCTCCGCTGGACCCGCCACCAGCCTTCGAAAGTAGCGACGGTTTCGCAGTGCGCAGCCCCCAAAGGACGGCGAGGTCCCGCTCAGATCTGCGCGGTGCCTCATTCCGCTGGACCCGCCAGCAGCCCTTGAAAGTGGCGACAGTTTCGCAGATCGCAGGCCCCCAAGGACGGCGAGGTCCCGCTCAGATCTGCGCGGTGCCTCACTCCGCTGTCCCCCCCAGCAGCCCTCGGAAGTGGTGTCAGTTTTGCAGATCGCTATGCTGGCCCCCCCGGCAGCCCTCGAAAGTGGCGACGGTTTCGCAAATCGCAGCCCCCCAGGGATGACGAGGTCTAATTTGGATCTGCGGCGGCTACTCACTATAGCTGGCCCCCAAAGCAGCCCTCGAAAGTGGTGACAGATTCGCAAATCGCAGCCCAGCCATGGGATGGCGAGGTCTAATTTGAACCTGCGGCGGCTACCCACTATGCTGTCCCTCCCAGCAGCCCTCGAGAGTGGCGACATTTCGCAAATCGCAGCCCCCCCCAGGGATGGCGAGGTCAAATTTGATCTGCGGCGGCGACCACCCACCATGCAGCCCCCCCCTCAAGCAGCCCTCGAAAGTGGCGACGTTTCGCAAATCGCAGCCCCCCAGGGACGGCGAGGTCGAATTTGGGTCTGCGGCGGCTACCCACTGTCCCCCCCCATGCAGCCCTCGAAAGTGGCGACGTTTCGCAAATCGCAGCCCCCCCAGGGATGGCGAGGTTTACTCTTGATCTGCGGCGGTTACCCACTACGCTGACCCTCCAAGCAGCCCTCGAACGTGGTGACAGTTCCGCACATCGCAGCCCCCCAGGGATGGCGAGGTCTAATTTGAACCTGCGGCGGCTACCCACTATGCTGTCCCTCCCAGCAGCCCTCGACAGTGGCGACAGGTTATCAAATCACAGCCCCCCCTGGGATGGCGAGGTCTAATTAGGGTCTGCGGCGGCTATACTTTATGCTGTCCCCCCCGAGCAGCCCTCGTGAGTGGCGACATTGCGCAAATCGCAGCCCCCCCAGGGATGGAGAGATCAAATTCGGGTTTGCGGCGGCTACCCACTATGCTGTCCCCCCGAGCAGCCCTCGAAAGTGGCGACAGTTCCGCAAATCGCAGCCCCCGAGGGATGGTGAGATCTAATTTGGGTCTGCGGCGGCTACCCACTGTCCCCCCCCAGCAGCCCTCAAAAGCGGCGACAGGTTCGCAAATCGCAGCCCCCCAGGGATGGCGAGGTCGAATTTGGGCCTGCGGCCGCTACACAATATGCTGTCCCTCCCAGCAGCCCTCGAAAGCGGCGACGTTTCGCAAATCGCAGCCCCCCCAGGGATGGCGAGGTCCAATTTTGATCTGCGGCGGCTACCCACTATGCTGTGCCCCCCAGCAGCCCTCGAAAGTGAAGACAGTTTCGCAAATCGCAGCCCCCCAGGGATGGCGAGGTCTAATTTGAGTCTGCGGCGGCTACACACTATGCTGTCCCCCCCCAGCAACGCTCGAAAGTGGCCATAAGTTCGCAAATCGCAGCCCCCCCGGCAAGATGCCAAGAGGTACCGCAGGCAAGATGCACACACAAGAGGTACGCATAAGGCAAGAGGAGACAAGAGGGAGGCGGAAGGAGAAGAGGGAGACGCGGCCGCAGTGCTCCATTCAAAACGAATGCCCAACCAAAGAGGGTTGGAAAAAATACGGATAAGTCCGCCACTGGCGCTGACCAAAAAACAGCAATACAAATTAACCTGTGACGTACCCAACCCATTTGTACCAATGGGAACGAGGAGTTGGCCGAACCTTGCATGGACAATCAACTTGATGTGTAAGCTACTTGGGACACGCGCTTATGGCATGATGCGCAGGAGAACCATACAAGAACGAGGGGCGACAGCTACAGGCTCGAAGAGGACATGGGGAGTCGGGAACGCAGAGAAGGAGAAAAACGTGCGGGAAGCCGAACCATCAGCACGGCAGCAGCAGAGGGAAGGTGACTGCAGGAGGAGAACAAGGACGAAAGCGGCGTCTAATGTGAGTCTGCGGTGGGTACCCACTGTGCTGTGCCCCTCAGCAGCCTCGAAAGTGGCGACAGTTTCACAGATCGCAGCCCCCCAGGGATGGCGAGGTCGAATTTGAATCTGCGGTGGGTACCCACTGTGCTGTGCCCCTCAGCAGCCCTCGAAAGTGGAGATAGTTTCACGGATCGCAGCCCCCCAGGGATGGCGAGGTCTAATTTGACTCTGCGGTGAGTACCCACTGTGCTGGGCCCCCCAGCAGGCCTCGAAAGCGGCGACAGTTTTGCCAGATCGCAGCCCCCCCCGGAGATGGCGAGGTCTAATTTGAATTTGTGGTGGGTACCCACTGTGCTGGGCCCCTCAGCAGGCCTCGAAAGTGGCGACAGTTTCACAGATCGCAGCCCCCCAGGGATGGCGAGGTCTAATTTGACTCTGCGGTGAGTACCCACTGTGCTGGGCCCCCCAGCAGGCCTCGAAAGTGGCGACAGTTTCACAGATCGCAGCCCCCCAGGGATGGCGAGGTCTAATTTGAGTCCGCGGTGGTACCCACTGTGCTGGGCCCCCCAGCAGGCCCGAAAGTGGCGACAGTTTCACAGATCGCAGCCCCCCAGGGATGGCGAGGTCTAATTTGAATCCGCGGTGGGTGCCCACTGTGCTGGGCCCCCCAGCAGGCCTCGAAGTGGCGACAGTTTCACAGATCGCAGCCCCCCAGGGATGGCGAGGTCTAATTTGAATCCGCGGTGGCCCACTGTGCTGGGCCCCCCAGCAGGCCTCGAAAGTGGCGACAGTTTCACAGATCGCAGCCCCCCAGGGATGGCGAGGTCTATTTGAATCCGCCGTGGGTACCCACTGTGCTGGGCCCCCCAGCAGCCCTCGAAAGTGGCGACAGTTTCACAGATCGCAGCCCCCCAGGGATGGCGAGGTCTAATTTGAATCCGCGGTAAGTACCCACTGTGCTGGGCCCCCCAGCAGGCCTCCAAAGTGGCGACAGTTTCACAGATCGCAGCCCCCCAGGGATGGCGAGGTCGAGTTTGAATCCGCGGTGGGTACCCACTGTGCTGGGCCCCCCAGCAGGCCTCGAAAGCGGCGACAATTTCACAGATCGCAGTCCCCCCACGAATGGCGAGGTCTAATTTGAGTCCGCCGTGGGTACCCACTGTGCTGGGCCCCCCAGCAGCCCTCGAAAGTGGCGACAGTTTCACAGATCGCAGCCCCCCAGGGATGGCGAGGTCTAATTTGAATCCGCGGTGGGTACCCACTGTGCTGGGCCCCCCAACGACTAACCGACGATTGCCGAGGCTACTTGACGCTGGATCGGCACTATCTTAACTTGTTGCCAGATGGTTAATAGCCCAGACCCGCGCCGCCATGATTGTTTCATGGCGATGAATCCCAGAGGTCTCGACCCATTTCCTGGGGCCGGTTTTCCATCTTGACTCTTTTTCTCAATGCCCCAAGGCAAGTAAGGGCCCCCAGAGGCCGAAAGTAAAGAACAACTTCCTGTCGCGATGTCTGCTCATGACTCTCGAGGGAAGAACAACTTCCTGTCTCATGTCTGCGATGTCGCGGGGGTGTGGGAAGGACGGATGGATGGGCCCCTCTCCCTCAACCAAAAGAGCCCCCCACGCCTCTCCTGGGGCGCGTCCCGACGAGGAGGACGCCCCCCAGAGGCGCAGGAGGTCCGCCCTGGGGAGGCAGCAGGAGGCGCGGGAGGACGCCCCCCCAGAGTCGCAGGAGCACCCGGCACCGTGCACCCCTTCCCCGGGGCCAGCCTCTCCGCCCAGGGATCCGCCGCTCCCCCCCGAGAAAGAAGCGGCGGGCCGTCAGTGCATTTTTGGTCTCCGGGCGCCCTCGCCGGGCCTCGGGGCCGTCATGAACGACTCAGGACGAAGAACGGGCCCCGGGCCCATGGGGAAGTGGTCAGAGCTCCAGGGCCCACGCATCAAGCAAATTGGAGCGGCCAGATGTCCGGGCCCCTCCCCTGGTCACGCCAGGGGATGAAAGCGGTCTCTTGAAAAGTGGCACTGCCGTGCAGCTGCAGCATCCTCGAGGCCGTCTGAAACGACTCAGGCCTAGGACGAACCACTGGCCCTGGGAAGTGGTCCAGACCTCCAGGGCCCACGCATCGAGAAAAGTGGAGCGGCCATATGTCTGGGCATCCGGAATCGCTTTCTGGACCTCGGGGGCCAAACGCGAAAAAGAGCGCCGGCATGGAAGAAATCACGGCACCGGAGCCCCTGTTCCACGTCGACCTCTGCACCTCTCCAGGGGTGAGTTTCGACCATAGGGCTAACGGGAATCCATCCACGGCGGCAAGAAGCCGCCCAGAGGCCACCCAAACAAAAGAAGCAGTCCACAACCTCGACTCCCGAACGTCCATATGGTATTGAAAGACACACGACGTCGGAGGTCAGAGCCCCTCTTCAACCAGTTTATCCAACGCGCTTATTGAGCGTACGCGGGCAGCAGCAAAGACAAAACCCCAGCCGTGGCGACAACTGTACTCCACAACCGCAATGGCCGTTCAAAGAAAAACACGTTCACACATCCTCTTGCCACTTTTCTGCTGAATGTCCGAAAAGATCATCGCCCATTGCGCACAACGGCGCACGCCTGCGGGCGTCCAGCCGGGGCGACGACAACCTCCAGAAACATCCCAAAATCCTCCAAGGCGAAGACGTCTGCGCCATCGACGCCGCCCGCCGAGGACCAAGTTGCATAAGACAACTCACCGCGTGGGCACCACCGCCACTGCCGCCATCCCAACCGGCGAGCACAGATCGACACCCCCGCACACATCGAGTACAATACAAACGGCACGGGGGCGTATCACATATCTGTGGCGCGCCATTGGCTGCGCGATCCATGGGTTACGCAATGGGTTGTGCGGTGCATGGGTTGTGCTATCCACGGATTGGACTGCGCCATGCTCCATCCATGGGTTGCGCCATAGGTTGCGCCATCGGCTGCGACATTCAATCCCTCATGGATTGTCGATTAAAAGGTTGCGCCGCTGCGCCATTGGTTGCGACATCCGTGGGTGGCGCCATCCTTGGGTTGCGCCATCCGTGGGTTGCCATCCGCTGGGTACGCCACAACTTGCCCCTTGGCTTGCGTACTCGGCGGCCGAACATAAGCGGGGCTACTAGCGGTTGCACCACAACTTGGGCATCCGGCAGCTGAGAATAAGACGTCCTGCTAGTAGTTGCGCTATCAGTTGCGCACTCGTCGGCCCATAATTGCGTCGAGCCCGCGGGAGCAAGTAGCGCGCTACTAGTGCTGGAGACCCCTCGGGCCCAACATGGGGACTGCACCAAGAGTCGCCCCCCCGAAGCCTGCAGAGAAAACTCTGCCAGGGCATCTGCGAGACCAGCCAGCCACCGAAAGCAAACAGCCCTCGAGGGGAACCAGCGAACAGGGCGAGGCCCAGGCCCGAGTCAAGCTCATGGGCCCCCGCCTCTGGAGGAACCTCCGAACCAGGCAAGGCAGAAGGCCAACCTAACGCTCATGAGCCCCAGGCACCAGGCCCTTCGAGAGGGAGTGGACAAACAATCACAAATAGGCTGGCTGCAAGCAAACGCAGTGAAACGCATGGCTGGCCACCCAGAAACACCCACAGCCAAAGCCAGTGTTAAGGGCGGGGGGGAACGAATCACGCACTTCGAGTTCCAACTGACTACTTACAAAGCTCCTCCCCTGAAGACGGACACGCAATCCGAACTGCCGCATCCTCCAGAGCCGCAGGGGGACGCCAGCCCGTGACCAGAAAGCTCTCGCTGGGGCCACAGATGGATATGCAACACGAAATCATCGCATCAGGGCCGCCGGGGGAGCTGGCCCGCCTTTGGAAAGCTCACGGCGGGGCAGCACATGGAAACGAGACCAGGAGGCTTCGTAACCTCCAGGGCCGTCCCAGGGGAGACAGCGCGCCCCTGGAAAGCGTTCGGCGAGGCCGAAGCCAGCCAGAGCTTGGGACACCCGCTCAGGATAGAGTCAGGCATGCCAGCCCATTCGGTTCGCTATTGGATGCCACCCCCACCCCCCATGCAAGACGGACAGTTCAAGCGATAGACGCCGCACTTCGGCCAGGACCCGCTCAGCGAACCTCGCCGCAGCTAATGCTCGAACAGACATGTTCGAGTGACAGAAGATGCAACGGTCTGTCGCGCCTTCGGCGGCCGAGAATGAAACAGCCTGCGCCATATGTTGCGAACTCGGCCGCCAAGACTACCACGGAAGACTAGTGGCTGTGCCATATGTTTCGCACTCGCCAGCCGAGAGAAAAACGCGCCAGCGGCTGCGCCACAAGCTGCGCACTCGGCGGACGGCCTGCTAATGGGTGTGACGAGTCAGTCAGTCAGTCAGTCAGTCAGTCAGTCAGTCAGTCAGTCAGTCAGTTCAGTGCGCCTCGCGAGAAAACAAACTCGAGTTATCCCCGAAGATTGGAAACATAGCCGAAAATGTCGATCCTCGAACCTCGACACCGGAGAGACAGGGACGCGCTGACCCGGATCAACCAGGGCTGGTTCACGAACTCTGGCTGTTCACGAAAGGGATCTAACACACGGATCGGCGAAGCGAGGGGAGCGGGATCGGCCCCACGTGGCTCCCAAGCCTAAGTCAGCCTCTCGCCTTTGCCCTTGCTCTGCGAGCGCGGTTCCGGCTTGTTTCGGGCTCCATTGAGATCCCGGAATAAACGCATCGGGCGGCACTGTGGACTGACGTAAGGCTCGTTCGGGAAACCGTGCTCCCCAAAACGGTGCTGAGCAGGGACCGGCAGTCCCGGCATTCCTAGAGGCCTACCGCGAAATCGCGTCATAACAAAATCATGCTGAACAGATAAAACATTAGGCACCTTTCGTGCAAACCACCAACAGTTCTTACAGCACTCCTTGGTGGACCTCAAGGCAAGCCGAGACGCTGCGCCACTGATCGTACCCATGGCAATGCAGGTCTTCGTGCCCGCCGGCCTTCCGCCCGACACCCCGCTGCAGGCTTGCTTCCGCCGGTCGCCCACCGGCTCCCGTCAAGGACTCAATGCCGACCCTCCCGATCCCTCGAAGCCGCCGAGTCGAAGGCTTCCCCTTCGAGCCGAAGGCCTTGAGAGAAGGCCTTCGCCTCGAAGGCGTCGAATGGCCTGCGGGCGCTCTCGAATGTGACGGCTTTGGGCTCGCACCTGGCGCGAACGGGCCAACGACCCATCTCACAAGACGCGTTGCTGACACGGTTGGCGCGCTAGAACGCACGCTGCTAACACACTCCAACAAATGGCAACATCCGAAACATACCCCCACCAAACATCGATTCTCCTGAATCGGTGGGAGGCGGGGGCACGTTCGTATTTCGCCACGTGCTCGACGAATCGCCGCCGCCCATCGAGTCGCCTGAAAGGGTAGGGTCTGGATTCCGCGGCCTAAAACATGCATTATTTAACCAAGGCCGCGCAGAAACATCAAAGAGGACATCTCACGAGTTGAGACAACGATAGCTCAAAATCTGTCCTTGGATCCCTCCCGAGGTCCACAGGCACCAATTCTCGGAGCTGCGTACACGAGGGGACTCCCCGAAGGCCGTCTACAGTTGTCTCAACTCGCCCTCCTCGGAGAGAAGCTGGGGTCACCTCGGACCAGATATACCTCTCGAGTACACGCAAGAGAGACCCTGGGCAAGGGTGACCTTTGGTGCGCGGCTGAACGGGAGACGTGGGGTGGCCAAACCCAGGCGCGCAAGCCGCTGCTACCCCTTCGCTCGGGGGATCCCTCCGTGCCCGCACCAAAGGTCAATCTGGCGAAAGGTCACTCTTGAGTCCAAGCGACTCTGGCAGCCTCGGAGAGAAGGTGCGGTCACGAGGCCCGCTGGCGCGCGGCGCCGCGCCGCGACGCGCGCGGAGGCGGCGGCCTTGGAGATGGCCCCGCAGGGCCCCGCGGAGGCACCGGGACGACTCGCCGCGCCCGCCTCCCGGGAGTCTCCGCCGTGGCTCGCCGCCGCCGTGGCTCGTCGCCGTGGTCAGGACTGCCGCCGCGGTCGGCGCCGCCTTCGCCGCCGCCTTCGCTCGCCGCCGCCATGGTCGGCCGTCGCCGCCGCAGTCGCTCTCGCGGTCGCCGCCGCAGTCGCGGCTGTCGCCGCCCGCTGCAGGCGGAGTGCGGAGGAGCGTCTTCCAGGGCGCGGTGTTTCGTCTTCCGTGGTCCTCCTCCTTCCTGGCCCTCGCCTCCCCAATCCGCGCTCTGTTGGTCGCCCACTCTCGCCGCCGTGCCCCCGTCTGGACGACAACACAAAATGGGGGAGCGTCTGCCGGCGCGGACCCCCGGCGGCTCTGCTGCTGGGCGACTTGGCTCTCGTTGAAGGGCTGCGCGGCGGCATCTGCAGGCCCAGCGGCGCCACGCGTCGCGCAACGCGCAGGGGTCCCCGACAGACTCCCGGGGGAGGTCGAGCGCTCGTGGCGGCCGTCAGAATGGAGGTGGAGGAAAAGGTGTGGAGGAGGAGGAGTGGGATACGAGGAGGAAGGGTGGGGCAGGAGGAGGGAGAGGAGGACGTGGAGGGTGTTTCGCGTCTGGGGCGGACGTGCAGGACAGCGGGGACGAGGAGGAGAAGGCTGAGAAGAGGGAGGGAGGAGCAAGGAGGGATGAGGATGGGGGAAAGGGGAGCTACGAATGACGAGGAAAGAAAAAGAGAAAACATACGAGCAGGGAAAATACTGCGGATGCGAGGGAGACAGAGGGAGCGAGAGAGAGAGGGAGGGATGAAGAGATAGAGATAGACGGAGGGACTGTGCGGAGGCGTAAATGGCGTAGGCGGAAGGTGGGAGGATGATGATGAAGAGGAGGAGGAGGACGAGGAGGAGAAGCAGAAACGAGGAGGATAAGAGAAGGGAGCAGGAGAAGAGGAGGGAGCAGGGATGCACATTCAATCCAAGACGAGCGGAAACTGTCACCATTTACTATCTCGGAGGCCTCCCATACAGGGTCGGATGCAGTGGGCTCGAAACATTGTGCAGCCACTTAAGGGGTCCGTCGAGGTTTCGCCGCGTTGCCGCCTCGTTGCCGCGTCGTGGCTCCAAAAAACGATGTTGCACGTGCGGCCTGGGGCATGGAGGAAGAAGCTAAGCAGAGATGGCAAGAGCAAGGACTTCAAGGGCGCTAAAGGCAAGAACACAAACGTGGATGGCCAAGGCGATCGCAAACTCAATAACAAAGGCAAAGGCAAGAAAAGAACAACACCACGAACGGCAAGGGCAAGCACACGTGGTACAACTGAAAGCCAGACCAAAAGGCAAAGGCAAAGAAAACGGCAAGCATAACAAAGGCAAGGCAAGCGAGGGGAAAACGCCTGAGGAACAGGCGCCTGTGGAAGCAATGGGAAGTCTTACGGGAATAGGCACGGAGCGAAAGGATCGAAGTGGCAACGAAAGACCATGGTGCTATTCAAATGATGCTGAATCCGGGAACTGTCTTCTTACACTCATGTTTCCCGACTCCGAAAAAGGTGGACACTGCCGGCTTCCCAACTGATGGGAAAGAGACTCCACCAAACAGAACCTGTAGCGCATCCGCCCTCGGCTGCAGAGACAGCCCAAATTGGTTGTCACGAAGCTCGGCCCCTGAAAGCAGGCATCTGTCCCCGCCGCGTGGCCGATAGCCTGCTTACCCAGAGGATGCGCAGGCCCCTGTGAAACAAAAAAGGAGAGGGAGAGGGGTAAGGAAGGGAGGTGGAACAGACAGAAGGGCCCTCAGGGCTAAATTAGCGGGCCCAAGCGTGCATCTAAAATCCGCCCGGCGGATGTGTGCCCCGGTGCACCGGCCTTGTAAAAATGCTCAAGAGTGTCACGAACGACTGTTTCTTGAGAAGGCGGAGCCCCTCGAAAACGGTTGGACGCTCTGAACACGGCGGAAATTGCAAGCGCCGGCAAGCTGAGCGTCTCTTCCCTGGCAAAATCGAGGCACATGAGCTCTCTAAACTGACACTTCGGAGTCCGAGGAATCGGCACTTCAATCTCGTCACAAACTTGCACACCGCAAAATGTTTAATGCTGTCCTGCGCTAGCCGTGAGCATCCAAAGCAGGGTATGCACGGATTGCTTTGTACAGCGTCCGCTGGTCGTCAGATGCACGAATTCCGGAAGCGTTCACCCGGCGGACAGCCGCCGCGACAACGCACGCAAAATCGGAGTCGCACCAAGCAGACAAATAAATTAGCAGCACGATCCTCGTACAGGCTTTCCCACCACGCCGGGATCAGGTCCAGTCACGTGGACCCCTGGTCTTGGAGCACGGTCTTGGACCCGTTTTTTCTTACACTTCTACATTGGTGAAAATATACGCATACCGTGCAGTGCCACGCCCCCCGTTCTCAAACCATGTACCCTGTAAGCGCACCATGGCCGATGAAGTGGCTAGTCCTTCGACGGTGTCGCAACCATATTTCAATATCCAGGGCGCTCCCATCAATGCATACATTCAGGCGGCAGGTCGTAAACTTCGGCAACAAGCTGAGATGGAGATGGTAGTTCACAAGTTTTTGTCCGAGACCAACCTCGGCGTTCCGAGGCCCCCGCGCCGTCACGTCGCCAACGGTATCTCAAGATAGTGAGGCACGCACCAGGTCTGAGTGGATCACGTTGGACTGGTGGATCAAGGCAGTCACCAGACGCCTTCTCATTACGACCACTCGCGTACGGCAGTGAGCCAAACACTCGTCCAGACTCTATGCGGACATAGGGCCTTTGGAAAAGATGCCGATCCGCCTTTGCATGCATGGCGGACACGCAGCATTGCCAAATGACAAGGACCAAAGCTACTCGTTCATGTTGAAGGTCCACCGTGCAGTCATTTCGAACAACGAGCTGCACGACAGGCGTTACATGCTCGTCAACCGCCATGGCCTGACTGACGTGTTGGTGAATGCCTACAAAGACATGTCCTGATCGATTGAGCACAGAAATGGATGACGGCAGCGTGGGCACCAGAATGTTCAAGAGCGCACGCTTCTCAAGGGCGACGATCTTCAACAAACTGCAACTCCTGGTGAAAACTCAGACACCTGCTGGGGAAATCATCCCGCGTCCCGTGCATGCGTCCAGCCACTGCATGTTTGCGGGGCTCGGCTACTGGTTGGCACAGCTGCTCCAAGCCAAGCTGCAGGAGATCGCGCCCTGGCTGCTGAAGGATTCCCAAGGCCTGATGGCCTGCATCAAGAGCATCCCAAGGCAGGGCATCGTTGGAGGCTTGGAAAATGAGCACCCACACGAACACAGGGGTGCCTCCAACCAAAGAAGGATGATCCTGGATGTCGGTGCTTGTGGTGATCTTTCGGCGGTCCGGAACATGACCACCAGTACCGAGATCGGGATCATCTCCCCTCGGTGAAGGCAAAGCGCAGATATTGGGGCTGGTGTCTACAGTAAGTCTAGGCCCCAACACCACGCGCTGGCACATGGCCACCGAGGACGTCAATGATTTATATCTCAGTGGTAGCGCCGAGGCCATTACAGAAGCGAGGGTCAGCTTGTGGCTAGACAACGACCCACTGCGCACGACGCTCTGCAGAGTTCTCCGTTTCGTCCTGGAGTGCCAGTTCGTAGACGACACGTGGGAGCCTTCTGGAAACATTTCGTACCAGGTCACCGAGGGTGACCTGGTATGGGCCTCCCTCGCAGTGGGGAGAATGGCAGACTGTGTACTGGTCGATTCGATGGACTTGACCATGAGGAGAAATCTCGGTCCAGCCAGCGTCAGAGGCTATGTCAAGCTTCTTGGCGACATCCTGATGTTGAGCAGGCAACTTTTCACTAGGCTGCAGCAACTGGCGTCCAAGATACAGTCCGGGTGGTGGAGACCAGGATTCCTTGAGCTTCAGATACCAATGTCGGATGAAGATTTCTCGGCCCGCATCTTTCCAAGCCCTCCTCAATCTCTCCCCCCTGACCCCTTCCAGTGCGCATCCACGCCACGTGCACAGCTCGTGGCCACAAGCCGATGCATGTAAAGTAAGACAATTGTGCAACACGCGCGACCTCTTATGATGCGTTTCCGAAAGAACGGGACGCCGACAGAAGGGACTTCTGAGACAGCGGCGGTACATGTGAGACTTCGGACAGCGGGTGAAAGCGTCCCGCGACGACCTCGCGGGCAAAGGCCGAGCGGACTTACGAAATTGGCATCGCCCGTCTCAAGAGTCCTTTTTTCGCTGGGGTTCCTGTTGGGACCACATGATTGTCCAACTCTCGACGGCACGATCGAACACGTTACGACAGCGGCCTGGGCAGCCCGACGCCGCTACGACAGCAGCGACATTTTGTACTTCCTAGCTGGTTGTAGGCGACCATTCTACGAATGCGCAGGAGAGTGGCAGAGAGATCTCGGCCCCGAATTCGCACAACGCAGTTCATCGCAACAAAGCACATCTCATTTCCGCACGACGCAACACGACACAACCCTTGACACGGGCCATTACGATTGACACATGCAGCATTGCAATTGCCTGTCGCCAAATCAAGTGTCTTGAAAACGTAATCATGCCCAGCGTGTTCAAATTCCTTTCCGGGTTCGTGGCTCGATCATGTCCTTGGTTGGCTGTAGGCTACCAGCCTACGCTGGTGCAGGAGGTAGGCAGAGAGATCTCGGCCCTGAATTCGCACTCGACGCTTGAGAATGTTTTCCGCTCGATTGGGGGAACGCTCCCAAGCCGTAGGTCTGAGCTGGTGCAGCTTGGGCATGTCACTTCTACGACGACTGCAAAACATCCTGTATCGAGTGGAAGATTGCTGTTGCTGCTTATATGCAGCACTGGCGGCCCGCAGCCGTGTTTGGCGCAAAGCCGAGCATGCCTTCAAGCAAGTTTGTGGCCTGCAACTGCCAATAGCGTCAAACGGTGAAAACAAGTCTTGCTGAACCCTTGCCTGCCACATGTATCGATATGTGGAGGAGGCGAAGTGGGATAAGAGGAGGACGGGTGGGGCAAGAGGAGGAAGGAGAGCAGGACGCGGAGGGCCTTCGAGTCTGGGACAGAGTGGCAGGACATCGAGAACGAGGATATGGCAGAGGAGAGGGAGGGAGGTCCAATGAAGGATGAAGATGGGGGATGGGGGGAATACGGAGGACGAGGGAAGAGAACGAGGAACATAGGAGCAGGAGAAATACTGCGGATGCAAGGGAGATAGAGGGAGAGAGAGGGAAAGAGAGAGAGAGATGGAAAAGAGAGAGAGAGAGAGAAAGAGAGACAGAGGAAGGTATTTTGAAGAGGCAGAGAATAATAATATTAATACGAAGGGGAAACATAAAAATGGCAATAAGAAAAACAATAATAATAAACATAAGGCGGTATGTGGGAGGAGGAGGAGGAAGACAAGCAGGAACGAGCAGGAGAAGAGGAAATATCATGAGAAGAGGAGGGAGCAGGGATGCACATTTCATCCAAGACGAGCGGGAGTTGTCGTCATTCACTATCTTGGAGTCCTCCCAAAATGGGGTCGGAGTAGATGGGATGGAAAGATCGTGCCGCTCACTTGGGGGGGTCCATCAAAGTATCGCCGCGTCGCCGCCTCGTTGCAGCCCCCACTTTGGGGTCCGCCGCGTCGCCGCCCGTCCTCGCCTTGTTGCCGCCCACTTGGGGGATCCGTCGAGGGTGTCGCCGCGTCGCCGCCCGTCGCCGCCTCGTTGGCGCACCGCTGCCGCCCACTTGGGGGTCCGTCGCGGCTCCGCCGCGCCGACGCCCGTTGCCGCCACACTTGGGGGGGGCCATCGAGGCATCGCCGCTGACTGCCTACCAGACCACCCCAACCCAACCCGAAGGCCCGAATTCGACCCGAATTTCGGGTGGGGGGGGGGTACGGATCCCATGTGTTTTTTCGATGTTCCCCGACCCCCCCCCCCACTGGAAATCGAGGATAAATTTGGGCCTTCGGGTTGGGTTGGGGTGGTTTGGTGGGTGGTGAGCCGCGTCGGCAGGTCCGTTCCTACATGGAGCTTGCGCCACATGGACTGTGCCACGTGCCCTTCACACCGTACGTCGCATTGCGAACAAGAGCCCTGACACATCGATCCTCGATCCTCTTCGCCGCCATCCCCGCCCAACAACAACAGCCAAGAGCCAGGCCCACCTCCTGCGCCTCCAGCCCGCCCGGCGAGGCTCCAAACCTCGAAGACACCGACCGCAGCAGCTGCCCGGCGCCCTCCTGGCGGCCAAAGGGCGGCCATAGGCGTCCCTCGGCGGCGACGGCGACGGCGGCGATGACCCACGACGACCACGCACGAGGCGCGGCGCGAGCGGCGCCTGTACGCCCCATCCGCTCCATAGGGCACCATAAAGGCCATGAAAGTTACACCGATAAGTTCACACACGGTGTCCACCCAAAGGGTCTTACTTGCTTAAACTCAGGATCTGAACAGAGACTCGCCGGTACCATCGGGCCACAGAAGGCACCATAGTAGCCCTAGTACCTCAGAGAGTCCAACCCACAGGGCCAGCAAGGTCACAGGAGGTAGATTCGTGTTTGTGTACCCGTGGAGCTGCATGAGCCACCTCAGGGTCACAAGGGTCCACAGAAGGCACATGAGCCCCCATAGGGCCACGGAAAGCACCATAAGTTCAATCGCTGGCGAGGCCCGGCGAAGCGGGCCTTCTTTAAGACCTTGTCTGGGGTAGCCAGCTGGTCTGGGCAAGACTGTGAACACTGCGCTGGGAATTCTGGATAACGCCCCTCACCAAGAACCGTTTCCGAGCTGCGTTTGGACCGTCTAAACCGATGGCGCGCACTTAGCGCGCGCTCGAAACTGCCCGTCTGGGACCTCTCCCGTCTCGGAGCTCAGAGGCGGTGATAAGACCAGCGCCAGTTCTGACAGGGCATTGATCTGCATGGGTATACAACTCAATCGCCATCCTGCTGCGCTGGAATGCTGGCACGAAGGCCGGTGTTGCCTAAGGCAGCTGGGTTACCCAGCCATCCAAACAGCCACCAATCAGTCAGTCAACCAGCCAGCCAACTAGACGGCCAAGCTGCCGACGCGCCAGACATCCACTTAGCCAATGGGCCAAACGATCGGCCAACCAACAAGCCATCCAGCAAATCAAGACATGGGGTCTGCGGCAGCGGACGATGCTCTTCAGATATGCAAGTCAGAACCACGCGCGCGCTTCGCGCGCGCTCAGGTTCTAGTCGACTCCGAAGGTGGTGTTTGCAGGAACGTGCACAATTCACACCTATACGTTTGCCTGGTATTGTGGTGGCTGCTACGAAGCTGGAGGACATTGGCGTTGGGAGCCCCGGGAGGCTGCCCACAGGACGCTGGCCTCGATTCCCTGCTCCAGACGGCCCAAGAGGCCCCCAAGCAGCCCCAAGAGGGCTACAAGTGAACCCCCAAGGGAGTCCCATAGGGCCCAAATCATTGATTGACCAAGAGTGTTGAGAAAGCCTGTTCGGGCTTCGGATGCTCCAAGACAGCCCAAGAGGCCCCAAAGATAGTTCCACGCCCGCCCAAGTAGCCTCCAAGAGGACCTCAAAACGGCCCAAGATGGCCACAAGAGGGCCCCCAGACGGGGAACTAGAACTTGTATCGCGCGGCATCCGCTCCAACATAACCCCCAAGACCGCCAACGGGCCCCCAAGTGGCCTCCCAGAAACCCTAAGCGGCCCCCACGAAGCCCAAATCAAACCGCAGGAGGCCCCCAAGAGGCCCCGAAGGGCCTAAAGACATAACCAAAACCGCCTCCAAGAGATCTCCAAGGGAATTCCCGAGAGATTCCCATCGGCATCCAAAAGGCCTCTCACCTTCAACCTAGGCCGAGTGGCGGGCTGGACTGAAGGCAGCTATGTGTGTGTGTAGAGGTACATGTAAATAATAAATATTTGTAGTGCACATTAATATATATATATATATATATATATATTCATATATGTGTATATACATACATACGCATGAATATAAAATGGATAGCTGTGGACACATACAAGTGCAAGTGGCGAGTAGGTGCCCTGTCTCGTTCAAACACATGTGCAGGATGTACGTGTGTGTGATGTGTAATGTGTGTGTCATATGTGGTGAATGCTGTGTGTTGTGTGTGCTCTACGTCGGGGATCGACGTTGGGAGGATAAGTCCGGCAATACTGTTGTTTCTATGGGTCGCGTTGGAAAGGAAATCAATGTCGGAGGATGTCTCAAGCGGAACTGCAAGGTTCGAAGCATCGGGCTTCGACTCATTGGACTCCATCGTGGATGTTGCGGGTGTTCTGTCAAACTCGTTGGAAAATTGTCTGCGTGGGGGGTCGACCTGGTGTTCAGACGTCTGTGCGTGTGGCTGTTCCGAGCACATCGGCCAACACACACCTCGAACGGAATCACTTACTCGCCTCCGAGCTCTTCTTCTTCGGAACGGTGCGCCTGAACATACCTCATCTTACACACATACATGTGTACAGATCCCACTTTCGATATCCGTATCACTTAGCACACATCGTGCTCATGTATATAAATGTAGGTGTAAGCGTACGCGGGCATTAAGTATGCCAATATAGCTAAATCGACGTCGAAATCAAGCGCCAGTCACACATACATTCTAAGCACTATGCACGTATGCGCGTATATGTTTTTATGTATACATATGTGTGTGTATGTATATGCATATGTATGCATAGATGCGTGTACATAGGTCTATGTCGTGCAGGTCCGCCACACATGTCTCGTCCTCCGCCACTGCCCCAAACCCCCATCACCCGCACGCATCGTCTACTCATCGCATTCGCCCTCCGCGTCGCCCTTCCGTTGACCAATACCAGTGTACATCCTCCAAGTCCCTAACCCTCAATAAAGCTTCCGACCATCTCACGGATTCTTCTCATCACCCCCACTTGCTCCCACAAGCCTGTTCACATCGCCTTCCATTCCCTCTGTCATTCCTCATTCTTCCTCCGCCCCCCTGCCTTCGTCCACCCTCTACCTCATACCCACGCATGCGCATCCTTACCCATTCCTCCGCCAGCATCCGTCCATCATCCGTCAGAGGTCCGCGTCCCTCCCTACTTCTCTGTTGCCTCCTCTTTGTCATACTTCAGCTTACTCCCTCTCCTCTCAGCAGTATCCTCCCTCTGTCTGTCGCCTAAAGTGCCTCATCCCTTCCTCTCTTCCTCACCGTTCTTCCCGCATCAATCCTGCTCCCTGCCTCCCCTGCCCGCCCCCCCCCCCTCCCGCACTCCTTTCCCATCCCCCCCCCACCTCCTACTTCTCCTCCTCCTCCTCCTCCTCCTCCTCCCCCTCCTCCTCCTCCTCCTCCTCCTCCTCGTATTCCTCCTCTTTCTCTTCTACCTCCTCCTCCTCCTCCGCCCCCTCCCTCCTCCTTCCTTCTCACCCCTCCTCCTCCTCCATATCCTCCCTGTCCTCATCCTCTCCCTCCTCATCCTTCTGCCGCCCTCCCTCCCCAGGCCCAATGCTTCTGCTGCTTCTCTCCTCCTCCTCATCATCATCATCATCATCATCATCATCATCATCATCATCATCATCATCAGCATCATCAGCATCATCATCAGCAGCAGCAGCAGCAGAAGTATCATCCACATCACCATCAACAACATCATCAATATCATCACCACCATCAGCATCAGCATCAGCATCAGCATGATCATGATCATGCTCATGATAAGGATCATCATCATCATCATCATCATCATCAGCATCATCAGCATCATCATCAGCAGCAGCATCAGCAGCAGCAGAAGTATCATCCGCATCACCATCAGCAACATTATCAATATCATCACCACCATCAGCATCAGCATCAGCATCATCATGAACATGATCATGCTCATGATAAGGATCATCATCATCATCATCATCAGCATCATCATCACCAACAGCATTAACATCAGCATCAGCATCAGCATCATCATCAGCGGCATCATCATCAGCAGCATATCATCACTATCATCGTCGTCAGCATCATCATCAGCACCATCATCACCAGCATCAGCATCAGCATCAACAACATTAGCATCATCAGCATCAACAACATCAGCATCAACACCATCAGCATCAACATCATCAGCACCATCATCAGCAACATCGGTATGTTAATCATGATTCTCATCATCAGCACCATCAGCACCATCCATCCCGTGGCTATAGATCCTCCTCATCCCCCTTCTCCTCATCTTCTCCGTCCTTATCCATCCCCCCCGCCTAGAGGCCCAACAGTCCTTGGCCCTCTGCGCTATCATGTTCGGGATCTCGGACACGATCGAGGTGCAGAGCTTCTTTCCCAAGGCCTTCACCACGCACGCGATAATCTCCTGCAAGGAAGGGGAGGGGGAGTTCAATCGGCAAGGCTTGGTGTTCTTAGATGCGCCGGCCCAAGAAATACGCACGGAGCTCTGAACGTTACTCCTTGTGCGAATTCGGCGGATGGCGCATGCCGAGCCAGGTACGCATCCCATGGTGCAGCAATCGATTGTTGGTACGGTCTGCGAGAGTATCTGTGTGTGAATGTGTGGGCCGCACTGTCTCCTGGCCGACACTGCTGGCATCTCCTAGTTGTCTTGTGCTGGTGGCTTCCGTTGACGACTTTTTCCTACATGTGTCAGTCGCCTGCTGGTTGCTCTCAATCGACCGGTGTTCAGTCGTGATCTACCTTGCGAATTATGCTCAGCCCTCGCTGGGATGGACAAACTGGCCGAATGTGTGTGTGCCCTCGCCAGACAGCGCTGCCCCAGGTCCTCCAGTCGCCACTGGTAGGCAGCCCGCAGTCGGGCTGGGCGCCCACCCCCCTACGCAGGAATTCGCCCCCGCGCGCTCTTGCTACACCCATCTGCCCGCCGATCACGGCTGGCCCCAAACACTGAAGACACCAGTTCGGTGTGGCCCTGCGCCTACCCCCCTGCAGCGATCGCGCATCAGCTCAGACAGGGCTCTTTCCCCGTCCTCCCCCACACGGCGTTTTACCGCGCCTCCTGCCACAATTCAATGTACCCGTTCGGTGCTACAATCTGCTCCGCACACGATCAATACACCTGTTCGGTGTGGCCCCCCCCCAGCTCGACGACTCTGGCGCCTCACTGCTCTCCACGTCGTGGCACTTCAGCGACGAGTTGCCTCAGCTCCTCTCGCCATGTGGCGCCCCGCTCCTGCGAGGGCCGTCGTCCATTCTGCCCATGTCGCTGGTTGCTCCCCCTTCATCCCCCGCAAAGTGAGGATCGACCACCGAGTTAACCCATGCCTCGGGACCCGTGCGCCCGCTCCCCGACTTCGGGGTGTTCGCACCCGGCCTCGGTGCTGGGTGGGCTGGTCTTGCCGCCCGCCCCTGGTACCCGCCTTCCCCCCCCCCCCCCCCTCCGCTCTTGCGCCCTCGCCCCGGCCGCGGGGTTTGGGCCTCTCTGTCGCGCCCGCCCCCGCTCTGCCGCTCCTGGGAGGAAGCCCCTGCCCCAGCCGCTGCCTCCCCTGCTCCGCTCCGCCCGTGCAGGTTGGATCGCAGGCCTTCTGCAGGACTTTCGTCACTTGTCTGTGGTGCTGGTCCTGCGCTGCAACGCCGCTTTGCCCGGTTTTCAAGCCAGCCCTCCCGGGTCCCCGCTTGGGGCCCAGGGCCTTGTGGGTGCTTGGCAGGCCACCCGCGGCCTCGGCACCCTCCGCCCCCGCTTTACCTCCCGCACGGCAGGTCAGCCCCCTCCTGGGCTGTGCCCTCGCGTGCCTGCCGCGTCTCGCTGCCTCTCTTGTCCCGCCCTGCTGCTCCGGACGGACGACCCTGCCCCCGCTGCTGTCCCTGCTCCGGGTGCTCGCCCGCGGAGTTTGGTTCACCCGCTTTGGTCACGGGCCGCTCCGCCCACCACCTCCTCCGTGGGCGGCGTTCCCCTCTCGCGCGGGGCGCCGCGCTCTCGCCTCTCGGCCTGCCTGGCTCACCGGCCAGCCCTCGCCCCGCCGGCGGGCTCCGTCGTTTCGCCCTGGCTGCCTGGTAGGTCACCCGCGACCTCGGCTCCTGCTGCCCTGCCGGCTCGCACCCTTGGGGTGCCCGCCGTGCCTGCCTCCCTGGGCGTCGCCCTGCGCCGCCCCCCCCCGCTCTACCCCACCACGAGGCGGCTGTCCCATCCAAGGCAGCATCGTAGGTCGCGCCTGACCTCGGCGCCAGGCCCGCCTTGCTCCACTGCCGTACTCGCCCGGCTCCTGGCGTCCTGGCTGGGCGGTCTTCTGCTGCCTCGGTGGCAGTCGTGGCCTGGCACCTCTGGCGTCGCCCGCCGCTCCCAGCCTGATGGGCTTGCTGCTCGTCGCTATCTATTGACCGGCCCTGGTGGTGGCCTAGTCCTTGTCGCTGCCCCTGGGCGCCTCGCAGATCACATGTGACCTCGGTACCCTCGGACTTCCGCTGCTCGCCGCCTTCGCTCCCAGTCCGTGCTGGGCACTGCCCCCCCTGGCGCCTGCTCTTTGCAGCCGCCTGGTCCGCCCACCCCCCCTGATGCTTTGCCGCCGCTGGCTCCCGCCCCCGGCGCCGCCCCGCCGCCGCCTGGCCCCGCTCTGAGCGGGCCCGGCCTCCCGTCTTCCTCCTGCCCGCGCCGCCGGGCGTCCTCCTCCTTCCCCCGTAAACTGCGGCTTAATCTGCGTGTGTGCCCCACTCATGCTTCATCGCCAGCGCTGTCACTCTGCCGAGCCGCCGACGCAAAAAGTGTTGTTTCTTTTTTTTATTGAGGGGGGGCTTAGGGGGCGGATCCTGAAAATGTGACAGCACAGACGAAGCCAGCGCGGCAACTCGACTACCGGCCGGGCCCTCAAGCAAAAGCCGAAGATAAGCGAGAATATTGCACCAGGATGCAGAAAGACGCCACGATGGGATGACCGCGAAGAAAAACGCCACGATGGGGTGACCGCGAAGAAAAACGCCTTGTGCCTCGAGAGCGCCGCCATCAGCACGAGCACCGCCTGACCCACCACGAGCCTCAGCCAGAAGACCTCCACGACGAGTAGCATACCGATAGCCGGGAAATGAGCGCAGAAGCCCTCGCAGAAAAGCCTCATGCACACGAGGAAAAATGAGAACACTGGCGCCAGGTACTCACGTACGGTGAAGATGATGACTTGTGGGTATAAAAGAAGGCCCTGGGGCCTGAGCGCTGCGAGCGTCCACGCGGCTCCGCTCGGGATCGGCGGCCCCGCCTGAGCGGAACGGCAGACCCACGAGGGAAGCAGCGAGATGCCCCCAACGCCCTCGAGCACTACGAGCGGTCAGCCTACGAGCGGTCAGCCGGCTCCGCGCAAGGGCGGCGACCCCACCTCGGCAGGGCGGCGGGCCATCGCGGGGAGAGGCTGGTACCCTTAGAGCTCCTGAGCCATCTTGTGGCGCACGTTCGCCGCCGCAGCCGCGTGGGCAGCCCCGCTGCGAACGAGAAGCCTGTCCCTCCTCTATGCCCCCCTCCGCTGGAGCCGCTCTGCCGCGTGGTCCAGCCGCGCGAGGACGTCCGCCACCGATGCCCCTTCCCGTTGCCATTGCATGATTTTCGACAGAACGCGCATGAATTCCCGGCTACACATCGTGTGCGTGTGTCTCTCTATGCCACGCCGCCGCGCGCGACGCCGAACAAGTGATGGTGTGTATGTATGTGTGCGCGCGCGTGTGTATACGTGTGTGTGTGTGTGTGTGTGCGTGCGTGTGTGTGTGTGTGTGTGTGTGTGTGTCTGTGTCTGTGTCTGTGTCTGTGTCTGTGTCTGTGCGTGTGCGTGTGCGTGTGCGTGTGCGTGTGCGGCGTGTGCGTGTGCGTGTGCGTGTGCGTGTGCGTGTGCGTGTGCGTGTGCGTGTGCGTGTGCGTGTGCGTGCGTGCGTGTGCGTGTGTGTGTGTGTGTGGCGTGCGTGTGTTAAGATCTTGCACTTCACTTCACCAGAATCACCACATGTGCTTGCGCACCTCCTTTCCATTAAGTGGCCTCTCCTCCTTCTCCCCGCGACCCTTTGTGAACAATTCGCGCTTCCGCGATTCGGCTGTTGCGCCGACCGCGGTGGGATTGTTCCCACCGCCGCTGGCCTGGGCCGGCTGGGCCCAGGGTGCGCAGGCGCTGGGCGAGTGGCCCACCACTGGCGCGGGCTGCGCGGCCCAACAGGCAGCGGGCGCAGCAGCAGCAGCAGCAGCAGCAGCGCCGGCGGCCAGCCCACAACCGCAGCTGCAGAGGTGCGCTCGGCGACCGTGGGCGGTCGGCCAGGGTTTGCCTTGGCGCGGCGCTGCCGAGGCCGCCCGCGCTCTCTTCGGGGGCGGCGCGTGGGCGCCACACGCGGCGTCGCCAAGACCTGGGTGGGTCGCGTGCCTCTGCTGCGGCAGCGCCGCCCCACGCTGGCGGGCGCTGGCGGTCCGGCGCTGCCCAGGATGGGCCAGCGTGCTGCCTCAACGCGAGGCGGCGGGCGGGGGGCAGCGAGGCGGGTTGGCGCGCGGCGCTGCGCATGCGGCTCGAGGCGCGGCCCGGGCCGCCAGACTAGGCAAATGTGACGCAGCCCAGGGCTGGGGCTTCCTGTTTCACCCCCTCCCCTCTCCTCCTCCCCCTCCCCTCCCCCTCTTCCCCTGCGTTTTCTCCATGGGGCTCGCTTGCGCTTGCAAATGCTCATCGGCAATTTCGTTGACTGCCCCTCTGCGAAACACGTCCAGAGAAAGCTCGAGCACACAGCATGTTGCAGCCACCAGGTCAGGTACAACTGCTCAGCACAAAATGTTCCGCGGCCCGTGCCGCGCAGCGCACTTATCCATCGTGCGAGTCACGGTCTGAGGTGGTAAGGCTTCGGATCGCGCGCAGACAGCCCAATCAGGTAGTCCCCGCTGACCTCAACAGGCCCCCCGAGTAGTCTCAGCTCGCCTCAGCAGGCCCCCCGAGCAGCCCTGGGCGGTCTCAGCACCCCACCCCTGGGGCGCGGAGCGGCCTAGGGGCGCCGCCGGAGGCGGCACTGGGATATCAAGATCGCCCCAGGCTACTCGGGGGGCCTGCTGAGGCGAGCTGGGACTTCACGGGAGGCCTCTTCAGGCCAGCCAGGACTTCCTGGGAGGGGACTGTGCGCAACCCGAAGCCTTACCAGTCTGACGGCTCGTCCTGGCCGCTCCAGGATGACCGGCTGCGAAGACGCGCTCGGCGCACGCCGACGTTGTCCTCGCCAATGGCGCTCGGCCTTGTGCGCGTCTCTGCCCAGCCTTCTGCCCTGCCGCTCAGGACGCGCTGGGTATCCAGCGCATGACAATCCAGTTTGAACAATATTGCGCCGAACTTGGGCACGTGGACAGGTGTAAACACCAGCGGTGGTCTTGCAACCACCACCGCCCCAGGGTTCACAGAAGTCTCGGTAGCGGTCCGTATCCATGGCTCATGAAGCTTCTCTGATTCAGATTGCTGCGGGCGCAGCGAAAGCCCGCTAACAGGTGTGGCACGCCAGAGCAATGCATTGTGAGTCCTCATCCTGCTGCTCCTCTCCCTCCTCCTCGACCTCCTCCTCCACCTCCGACTACTTAGCTATTCATCCCTCAGACTGTGGTTAGAAAATGATATGACTGTACCTACTCCCTCCTCCGCATCCCGTTCCATCCTCCATGTTCCCTCATCCTGCCCCTACTCCTCCTCTTCCTCTTCCCTCCTCCACATAGGCGTCATCGGAAACGTAGTATCGACGACAATGACGAAACTGGCTCCATGGCACAGATGGCTACAACGACAACCACGACGGCGGCGGCTGCGACGGCGGCAGTGACCACGATTTATGAAAACAACGATGACAACGACGAGCAACCAACGACGACGATGATGACGACGACGACGACGACAAGGCCTGGCCGACCGATCGACCGACCGACTGACCGACCGATCTAACCTCGACAGGAATCAAACACTGGCAACGAGGGCGTCCCCGAGGCCACGAATGGGGCCCGAAACCGCACACCCAAGACCTGCATGCTCGAAGCCTCGCCCGCTGCCCCAAAGAGGCCGCCGACAAGCTGACAAACGCCGCCGACGACTGGTGGACGAGGGACGGCGACGGTCGGCGGACGGCGCACGGCGGGGGCGCGCAGCACGAAGCGTCCTGCGGCTTCGTGTCCCCCACTGCCTCCGAAGACGCCGCCGGCGCCGGCGACGACGAAGACGACGACACGGCGACGGACGGCGGAGCGCTGTGCGAAGAGTCCTGCGGCTTCAGGTCCTCCCTGCCTCCGAAGACGTCGCGCTGGATGTTCTCGAACCGCACCGTGCCGATGGAGGGCGCGAAGCGGATGTCCCTGCCGCCGAGCCACCTCGCAGGAAAGGCGGGCGCCCAGAGAAAGAGAGAGAGAGAGAGATGGGGGGGTGCTGGTCCTGCGTGCGAGGCCACCAGCACCGAGGAGGAGGAGGAGGAGGAGGAGGACGAGGAAGGCGGTGGGGAGGGGGGAGGGGGCGGACGATGCAGGGGGGTGGCAGGAAGGAGAGAAGCAGAATGGAGGGAGGCGGGAGGGAGGGAGGGGGGGGGGCAGGCGGTCCGAGGGAGCTGCCAGGAGCCCCTCGAGAGCCTCCGACCTGAGGGCCTCTGAGGCCTCTTCGGGGAGGCCCTGCTGGAGCCGCCGAAACCCTCCCGATAACCTCGACCAACATTCTCCTCGAACCCCAGGCGGCGACATTCGAACACTTCCCCAACCAACAATCGCTTCTCCTGAATCGATGGGAGGCGGGGGCAGGGTTCGAATTTAGCCACGTGTTCGACGAATTGCAAGCTCTACCGCCGCCGCCCAGCGAATTGCCTGAGTCGTTACGTCGGTAATTTAGGGTAGGGTTTGGACTTCGCCGCCAGGAGCCATCCGTGTCTGACATTCGGCACCAGCAGCGTGGCGGTCGATCAGAGAGAACAGCTAGCAAGAGGATCGGGGAAGAGCGCCAAGAATGCCGAACCCACGTGAGGCTCCCCGAGGATTCCCCACCGAGCCAGCTCTGCAGCGCAGCCTGCTCGGCCGCCGAACGGGCAGCCGAGTGGGATCGATGCCAGGATGTGGGCCCGAACTGTGCCCCTTCGACGGCGGGGCTCGCTCTTGGGTCTGCCCGGCGGGCGAAAATGGGCCCAAAGTCCACCGATCGGGCTCGGAAGGGAGCCATGCGGTCCCGAGAGCCCTCCGCCTGACGTTCTGCACCAGCACCGTGGCGCCGATGTCGCCCACCTCGATCTTCTCAAGCAGCACGCGGGGCACCGCGTCGAGCTCAGCCTCGCCGAGGGGGGATCGCCCAGGACAACGACGACGACGACGACGACGAAGGAGCGGCGGAGCCGACAGTGTCAGCGACGGCGCGCATGTCCAGTCGTCCTCGCCCTTGTAGACTCCTCCTCGCCGCCGTCGTCGTCCTCCTTTCCCTTCCCTTGGTCCTTCTCCTCGTCATGCGCCTCATCCTCGTCCTACCCCTTGTCCTCGTCGTTCTCCTCCGTCTCTCCTCCTCCTTGTCTCCTCCTCCAACTCCTCTCGTCCTCCTCCTCCTCCTCCTCCTCCTCATCCTCCTCCTCTTCCTTACTCTTACGCTCCACCCTCTCCTCCCAGACCCTGTAGGCGGAATCCTCACGGGTCTGATCTTTCGCGGCGGCTCGGCAATGTAGCGTTGGCTGCCAGGGGTCAGTCGCGCAGGATGGTCTGTAGAACTGGTGGATCGAACCGGACGTGTGTTGCACGCGGTCCGATGGCCCAGAGCAAACAATTTCAGTCCTCGCCAAACGACCAGGGATGGCGAGAACTGCGCCCGTTACAAACTCACACGCTCACAAAGCTGGGCATGGGACCTGCCGTGCTCCACTTCGACTGTAAGTCAACATTATATATGATCATGGGATGTCCTGGAGCAGGGGTCTCGGCGGGACCCCCTCTGGGCAACATCTGGAGTCCCTTCTTGCGAGCCTGAAGCTTCTTTCTGATGTCCAGGCGTCTAGAACATCAGCGCACGCAGTGGCGGTGGACGTGGCGCAGGGGGCAAAAGGGAGGCAAGAGGAGGAGGAGGAGACAGACTCGCGGATCCGGGGGGGCCCTCGGAGCGTGGAGGGACTCGGGACGTGCCGGAGCAAGCTCGCCGCAGAGCTGGGAGTGCATCCGCAGGTTGGCACGCCCAGGTGCGAGTGACGTATGCGAAGACCAGTCTGCCGCTGCATGTGCCAGAGCGGGCGCACTGGCGCATAGCTTCTCCGAGGAGCACGCCTAGCTTCTGCTCTCCGGGGGCTCGGGGCGCAGGCGGAACACCTTCGCCTCGCGGCCCTGGGGCCCCGGGGAAATCGGCGAGCTTTCTGCGGAGCGAGCGGTCCGGCTCGGACGACGGCTCCGACGACGAGCTGTCTTAGTCAGGAGGACAGATCTCAGGGAAACGAACTCCATATACACCGACGCTTTTCCCGACCCTGCACTGAAATTCGCACAGGAACGTGGATCCTGGTGTATAGGGGATCCTGGTGTATACATGTTTCGTTGTTTCCCTGGGGGAAACGGGGGACAAGTATACACCACACCACCCCGACGTCGTCCCTGACCCTTAAAATGTCCCGGGATTGAAAAACAACCCGCCACTCTGCCAGTTTGCGAGACTCTCGGGCCATCCACCCGCACCCATCTTCTCAAAGATCCCGCAGTTTTCTCAGAGTCTTCATGGATCGACTGTAACGACACAATACAGAACTCTCCTCTTCACCCGTCGTCCGCGATCCCTCTTCCTCCTCCTACTCCTCCTCCTCCTCCTCCTACTCCTCCGTCTTCCTACCACTCTTGCCTCTGCCTGCTTCGATGGGCGGCCGTTGGCACGGATATCAAGAGAGGGCTGGGGAGGCGTGGAGACACAGTGGTAGCTACTTGCGGAAGGGGAAAACGCAGAGACGTAGGATCAAGATCGGCAGGGGGAGGAAGGGAAAACTTATCATAATAATAATGATAATCCGCCGACCCTGTCGGCGTGTGTGAGGGGCTTGTCCGTTCGACTCGTCATCTCCGTCATTCGTTAGTCGTCGTCTCTGTCGTCTCCTTTCCCCTGCGCCCCCCCTTTCCCTGGGCCCGTCGCCGCTCCCCTCTCCTTCCCCAGCGCCTCCTCCTCAAGCGCGCCAGCCAAACCGAACTTGAGCAACGTCGTAATTGAGTCGAAGGGAAGCCCCTTCCCTTTGATCCCTCCCCCGCCGGGAGGGGGGGGGGGGGTCCCGGGGGGGGGTCCCGGGGGGGGGGGGTCCCGGGGGGGGGCGCGCGTCAGATACGACGCCCCCTCCCCGGGGATCCCGGGGCCCAGAAAAGCCCGTCGCCGCTCCCCTCTCCTTCCCCAGCGCCTCCTCCTCAAGCGCGCCAGCCAAACCGAACTTGAGCAACGTCGTAATTGAGTCGAAGGGAAGCCCCTTCCCTTTGATCCCTCCCCCGCCGGGAGGGGGGGGGGGGGTCCCGGGGGGGGGTCCCGGGGGGGTCCCGGGGGGGGGTCCCGGGGGGGGGCGCGCGTCAGATACGACGCCCCCTCCCCGGGGATCCCGGGGCCCAGAAAAGCTCCAAGACGGGCCAAGAGTGCCCCAAGAGGCCTCCAAGACGGTCCAAAAGGGCCCCGAATCGCCGAACGACTTGTCCAAGACGCCTTGACGGACTCCAGACGACCCAAGAGCCCTGCAAGACGCTCCAAGAGGCCTACCAGGAGCACTCCCAAGACGGCCCCAAGAAGCTAAATTCATTGATTTCCTATTGTTTTTTGAATGATTTTGGCGTTCTCGACTCTTCCCCTTCCCGACGCTCCAAGACACGCCAAGAGGCCCCCAAGATCGCCCTAAGACGGCCCAAGAGGCCTCCAAGAGGGTCCCAAAACGGCCCAAGAAAGCGCAAAGACGGCCCAAGACGTCTCCAAGACGGTCCTAGAGGCGCCCAAGACGGCTCCAAGAGGGTGCCCAGATGCGGGACCCGACCCGACATGTCGAGCTCTCAGCCCTGAGAGGCTCCCAGGAGGCCCCAAGAGGCTCCAGGAGGCCCCCACGAGGCCCCAAGGAGGCCCCCAGGAAGCTCCAAGAGGCCCCCAAGCGACTCCCAACAGGCCCCCAAACTGCTCCCCAGAGACCCGAAAGAGCGCTCCAAAGAGACCCCACGAAGCATCCCAGGAATCTCACCCACGTCAGCGTCGTCGTCGTCGTCGTCGTCGCGCCGCCGCCGTCGTCGTGTGACAGCACACCCGACGACGACGATGACGACGACGACGACGACCACAGCGCACTGAGCCAGCCCGCGCCGCCCCGCCGGTGGGCCGAGCCGCGCCCGCCGCCCCCATGAAGGCGGCACGGGCGCCCCTGGCCGCAACCTCACGCCTCGTGAGGCCTCCAGGGTCGGCGGCACCGGCCGTAAGGCCTTCGCAATAATACTACTCAGAATAAGAATCATAATAATAATAATAATAATAATAATAATAATAGCAATGATAAGAATAATAACATGCCGTGGAGGTGGAGAAGGGGAAAAGGGTGAGGAGGAAGGGGGGAGAGGATGGATAAGGAAGGGAGGGAAAGAGAGAGAGAGAGAGAAAGAGAAACAACAAAAGGAGAGAGAAGGAGACAGAGAGAGAGAGAGAGTTGTGCTTGCCTGACGCTTGAAGGATATGGCCGCTACCGCCGCCGTCGTCGTCGTCGTCTCTGCCATCGTGAGTTCGTCAACGCGCAGGAGGGACCCTGATGAAGAAAAGGCGCCCTTACCGCACGGCCTCTCGATCGCTGCCTGCGATGCGGCCCCCTGCGTGCCTGGCGCTGGCTCCACCTCGCGCACCCCGAAAGCCGCACACCCGAAGGTCACTCCGGCGAAGGGTCACGCGGAGCCGCTGCCCCATGGCGGCCTTCATCTTCGCCCACCAGCTCTGGCCGGCCTCGGCGGGGTCGGCTGGCGGAGGCGGTGGGGGCGACGGCGCGGTCTCCTCCTCGGGCGGCGGAGGGGGGGGGAGGTCAAGAGGGCGGCGAATGGCACCATGCGCGCGGCGAACAGGAACAGAAACGGGTTTTGAACAAGCTGACCTAGCGACACTACGCCGCAACTTGCGCGCGCCACCAGCGCGGCACGCCACACTGGAAATGAGGGCGCTGACGCGCGGTCTTGCGCGGGCAGCTTGCGGGCCACCGTCGGTGATGCCGGCCCCCTTTCTCCTGCCTCGCGCAGTGCGGCCGCCGGCCCGGCAGCAGCCCCCGGCTCTCGCGGCCCTCGGTCCGACAGAGGCCTCTTCGGCCCGACAGCGTCCCTCTTGCCGACTGCGGCGGGGGGCAGAGGGCGGCGGGTGGCTCCTGAGGCCTTCGGCCCGACCAGTGGCCCCGTGCGCTCCCACATCCCCATCCACTCTCCAGCCCCTGCTCCCCTTCGCCCCCCCCCATTGCCCCCTCTCTGGCCACCCTCGAAGTCCACCCTCTTCCGTTTCCTAGAGAGCCTCGGGACACCCTGAGACGTTCCAGAGGGTCTCAGGCGCGCACACACACGCACAAAACAAACCAAACAACATGAACCTGCGCGAAGGGTGGCCCTGTGGCTTATGAGGTGGAGGAGGAGGAGGAGGACGACGAGGAGGAGGACGAGGAGGACAGGCCGTTGGCTAATTTTGGCGCGCTGCATCGAGTTCACATTCACTCAAGCCTTCTCGCCTGCTATTGTCGCGGCCATGTCTCAGAACCCTGGGGCTCGGGAAACAACTCACGACGTCGGGGCTCTGGGACGTTACTTCTGGCATGTCCCGAAGATGCCCCAAGTCCCAGCCCTTCGGCGAACGTCCAGGCAGTTTGAGCATGCGAATGCTCATTGCTGCTGGTCCGACGCAACGACTGGATGTGCCGCGGAGTCGTAGACAAGAGGTTCGGGAATTGCGCGCGTGAAGGGCGGCAGATGGGGCAACTGGGAAGGACGCATGGTTGGCTCCTCCTCCTCCTCCTCCTGGGTACCTTGGACTTGCCCCGCGATGCTGCTCCACCTCCAGCTCATCCCCAACCGTACCTCCATCCTTCCACATTCACCTCCTCATGCTCCTTCTTGTCCTCTTCCTCGTCCGGCTCTGCCTCACCCGACGCTGACGCTACAGGCGGGTCCAGGTCGAAGACTCCACGCCCTAGTTCATCCGCCGCCTCCCTCCTTTCCCTTCCCCCCCGATCTTCCCCCATCATCCACTATCATGCTCCTCCTACTCCTCAGCCATCCTCGTCCTCTTCTGCCTCCTCCTCCTCCTCCTCCTCCTCGTCCTCCTTCTCCTCATCAGAGTGAGAAGACCGAACGGTCACTCATTGTTCTTAGGTGCGTGGCTGAAGTGTCGATCCGTGGTGAAGATTATGCTTGTTGCGTTGTTGACTACGCATTTCTAGAAAACAATTACTGTTGATCTACGGACACGGTTCCGCGCTCTCTCGCCGCGACGCCGGCAACATTTTTTTTGAAAACGAGGCTCCCGCTCGAGCGTTGGCTTGAGCCTAAATGTGGGCCCTGGGAGGCCCAGCTACGACGACAACGGCTGCCGCTCGACACGTCCTCACAAGTTACCCCGATACACCCTGGCCAGAGAGGAGCCCGAACTCAGGAACGGAGCTCTCGCTCGAGACTTCCTCGATATTCAATCAGGTTGGCGGAGGCCCAGCCACGACGACAGGGGCTCCTGCTCGATTCTTCATCACGATTTGCTCCGAGAGCCGCTGGCCAAGGCCCCCGAACTCAGGCAAGTTAGTGGAGGCAAGTTGGTGGAGGCCCGGACACGGCGACAAGGGTTCCCGTTCGCTATTTCTCCATCGGTATTCCTCGAGCCCCTGGCCAGAGAGGCCCACGAACTCAAGAACGGCGCTCTCGAGACCTCCTCGCGCTTCAGTCAGTGGTCGACAAGGAAGAGATTCCCCCCGAAAGGGGGTGCAATCGAAGACGAAGAGGGCGGATATCGAGGGTTGTGGAATACGGAATGCAAGACACGCGTGCCAGTACGAACGAACGGTTTTAAGATGATTGGTTTGTTTGTGTTTGTAGTTGCTGCTGTTGTTGATGTTGTTGTTGTTGTTGTTGAACATTATTTCTTCTAAAGAATAATTATTGTTGGGACCCCTGGTGCGCGCCCCCCCCGCCGCGCCTAGGCCGCAGCCACATTTTCATCATTTTCGTGAGGAAGTCTCAGGTAAAACGATGTGATCCAGATCCGGTTGTTTTGTTGACGCCCGCTTTCCCTTGCAAAAAATAAGCTAAAGTGGACATTTCTTGTTCTAACATAACCAAACTTCAAGAATCCCTTGCAAAAAATAAGGTAAAGTGGACATTCGCGCGCGCAAGACGAAATCCTTCCAAAACCTTAGTTTTCGTAGCGATTTTAACATAAAAAGATCAAAAAACCAATGGTCTTTTTTTTTTTAAAAAAAAATGTCAAAATTTCATCCCGCGCGCTCTTGCGGATTCGAGGGAAACCCAACACTTTTTAAACATTTCCGTCAAACGGTCTCTTGCGAACAACTTTTTCGAACTTCTGCAACAACGGTGGCGCACCTGCCAGGGCCATCATCCCTGTCAAATAATACCATGCGGGACACATTCGTTTTTTCTTCGCGCGCGCACGCCGTCGTCGTCGGCCGCGGGGCCCTGAATAGTAGCCACGGTCGTCCGCATGCCACGAAGTGAAGTGTCCGAACGTCATAGGGCGGGAAGCTGGGTGTGGGTGGTGGCGAAGAGTCGTTTGGAAATTTGGTAGAGCTTGAACCGGCCCCCCCACAAAGTGGGGGTATTGCCCGCCTCCTATGAAAACCCTGGCACTGGTGAGAACGGAGTGTCCCCACGTGCTAGTAATTGTTGTTGTTGTTGGTGTTGTTGGTGGTGTTGTTGTTGCTTGTTGTCGTCGTCCCACCCGCGACCCACCCCGCGACCCACCCCGCGACCCACCTGCGACCCACCCCGCGACCCACCCGCGATCCACCTGCGACCCACCCCGTGACCCATCCGCGATCCACCTGCGACCCACCCGAGGCCCACTTGCGCCCAACCTGCGACCCACGCCGCGACCCACCCGCGCCCACCTGCGAACTATCCGCGACCCAACAGCGACCCACCCGCGACCCATTTGCGACCCACCCGACCTACCCACATTGGTTCAGCGAAAAAGTCTGCGCCTGCGGCGGGCTCCTTGTATAATTTGTGAAGCCTTGGCGCCTGCGGCGGGATTCTCCAGAGTCTCGCAAACTGCCGACGTTCCAACCGCCCCCTCACTCTTATCCGCATCTGCGGGGTGCTACGTATTATTCGCCCTCTTCTGTCTTGGCCTCCACCTCCTCCTCCGTCCTCCTCCGTCCTCTCCTTCTTTGTACTCCTTACGCCTGCGGGGAGTCTGTGTGAGACCCTGTGCCACGAATTACGTAGGGGCAGCCGCACCACCATTGCCCCCCCGACCCATGCCAGCGGTGCCGCCGCATCACCTGTGCTCGCGGCGCGTGGGGCGCTGTCCGAGCTGTGACGGGATACTGGCCCTGGCCACGTGGCGAGAGCCTCTCGCCATGCAGGGGGCCGCGAGCGCCAGGGCCCACGCGGAAGGGAGCGCGACCACATAACTTGACACGACTCGGCTTCGACCTCTGTGCGAATCAAAGAGTCGCCAGGCAAACTAGGAGCCCCACACAAGCCGACCTGCCATAGGCAGACTCGTGCAATGAACCGTGGCCTGAAAGAGGAAGCGAACGTGCTGCATGCGAATATCCCCTGAGACCCTTCACGGCCAACGATACTACGGTCGGGGACTGTTGCTTCGCGTGTCGCAGCGGCGGCCCCGGCGACACGCTATTGCCTTGCGAGCGGACGGCATGCCGCTCGGGGACTGGAACGTTGATGGCGCGTCGGGCCGCAGTGCGGTGGGCCGGAATCGGCGGAGCGACACGCTATCCAAAAGTTCCCGGCCTCCTCCACACGAGAGGAGGCGATTCGGCATCCCAGGAGCTCGAGGCATGGGAGGTCTGGGGAGTGCGAGTCGGAGAGGCCTCTGCGTCCTGGACGCGAGGGGGTCGGGGGGCCCCCGCCCTGGCCCAGGACATGGCCGAGAGCGGCGAGCTCCTCCGGAACGACGACCGCACCAGCTCAGGGGCCTCCCAGATGGGGCCCGAGTGGACGGGGTCGGAGGGTCGGGGCCGCATCGCCGATGCGTCGGCGATGCATCGGCGATGCATCGGCGCCGTCGGCGTGGAGACGCATGCCGCCGCATCGCCGAAATATCGGCAATTCAGCGCGGTCCTCCGACCCCAGCTTCTTCGGCCCCATCTGAGAGGCCTAGACTATCCCCATACTGGCGGAAGCCGACCGATGTTCAGACCGCCGCCAACACGGAGATAATCGACGGTCAGTCCAGTTTGTTTTGGATCCCTGTGTCCAGTGGTGGTAGGAGCCCGAGCGAGTCGATGAAATTGATGACGTACTCAACGTTGGAATTGCTCTGCTTCATGTCCGCGGTCGGCTTCTCGAAATTCACCTTGATGCCTGTGAGCGTGAGGTTCTGGAGCTCAAACTCCTTGCCAAGAGATGTGATCAAGCGCCACAGGTTGACCTTAATGAGGAGCGTTTTCACCTTGTTGGTTTCGGGCAAATGGGGCCTCCCGCAATGGGGTCGGAAAAAGAACAATAGCTCACCCCACGGCTCATGTTGCGTGGCCTCTCGCGGGCCAACGGAGCAAAATGCAACGCGTTCTGCCCGCATACAGCACGAACGATTGCACGAACTATTGCGCAGCATTGTAAAGAACAGATTCGCCCGAATCTGGCCTTGAAGATGTAGTCCTCCTTCCAAGTGAGCCTGACCTCGGGCTGCACCCTGGTGCCCGTCACTGCCCCTTTCTCGTCTCTCGACCAGATCGTCTCGAACTCTGGCTGGCACACCTTCAGCTTCTCCACCTTGACGTACCCCCTGCACAAGTTCAGCGCCGCGTTCTGGATCTCGATGTTGACACCGAGGACCGCCTCGTCTGCAGCCTCGATCGCCAACTTGACGGCCATGCCAATCACCTTGGCCGAAGAGAAGAGCAGAGCAACGAAAAACAGCAGGGCGACCACCAGCAGAGCCTCGAACAACTCCCTGTAGCTTGTGATGAACCGGTTGTCCCTCCAGCCCATGCACGACTGGCGGTCCATCAGGAAGATCGAAGATATCACAAGAATTAGGCCACCATACAAAGAGAGCATCGCTACGTACTTCACGACGGTCACCGCGTACGCGCCGACCATCGGCTGGAGGTCGTAGTCAGGGTTGCCGTCCTCGTCCACCTTGCAGGCGCTGCCGACGAAGATCGGCATCACCAGGCAGCAGGTCGCCTGCAGGCAAGTTGCGAACAGACAGATGTACATGCTGTCCTGGGCCCAGCCGGGGGGCGCGCCCATCTGCTCCGTGATCTGCAGCGCGCGCATGCGAGTGGCCACGAAGAGGACGCAGAACATGGGCGCCAGCCCCAGGCTGATGCCCGCGGAGACGAAGGTGTCCAGCGTGCTCGGGAGGCTCGCGCCCCTCAGGTCCTGGAGCAGCATGGTGACGCTCTGTCCGGCCTGCACGCTGAAGTAGGCCACCTCGTAGAGAAGTACGCAGTGGACCGTCGTGGAGAGGGTGCCTCGATGCTCGTACTCCGGATTCGGATCGTCGCCGATGCGTGGCCGCTGGTCCACCATGGCGAAGACGCCGTAGAAAATGGCGAAGAGCATCAGGTACGTCATCAGGGCGCACATGTGCATTAAAATCTGGACACCCTTGAGCTTGCTTTCGAAGATGGCGACGCCGTAGTACGCCTTCTTTGGTGTCCCCGTGAGGCCCACCACCGCGGACAGGAGAGCCTCCAGGATCAGGAGGGCGGTCGTCGAGTAGAAACAGCACTGCAGCCAGAAAGGCGGAAGCCCATGAGGCGGGTCCAAGTTGAGCGCCCGCATCCGCGCCGCCAAGAAGAGGACCGAGAACATGGGCGCCTTGCGCATTGTCGAACACATGGCCAACCCGGCATTGACCAGACCGTGCTGGAAGCCATCACACACGTCCCGGCAAAGGCTCCGTGCGGCCCATAAGAAAAAGAAGGACAGGCAATACGCCCCAGACTGGACAATGGTGCAAAGAACGGCGGCGGAGACCTTCGTCGTGCCTACCGGGTACAAATAGACGCCAACGATGACGCCGGCCACGCCACAGTAAATGCACAACATGCTCACCAACTGGAGGGTCCACACCGTGGACGCCACGTGCTCCATGCCCTCGAGTGGGGCGGGGGGCTCGGCGGCGCGCAAGGGAGGCCAGGATCAGTCAGCATTTCATCGGGAAGCGTGATCGAATCGGAGCGTGCGTCGGATCGGGATGCATCGGCAAAGAATCGAAGTCGGATCGGACCAGCCGCGCCAGGATGCACAGCAACGCCATGCACGCATCGGATCGCATCTGAACCCTCGGACATCAGTAGAAAAGCACGCCAAGAAACATCCTGCTTGCTTCCAGGGTGCCCTGAGTTTCTTGGGTTTCGATGGTTTTGCTATGGAAAGCGCGACGTTCCCACACCAAAAATCAATGGATGTCCTGGGGTCTCAGGGTCGGGCTTCCTCTGGAAGGTTTCTTGTGGTCAAGCTCCTATGTGTCCCAATCGGATTGGATCGGGCCAGCCAACATCGAACGTCGATGTCGATGGGATCGGCGGATCGAAATAGACCCCGGCAAGTGCGGCGCCCTGGGTGACTTTCCGGGAAGGCAGGGGCGCTCCACGGAAGTGGCGGGCGCCGCCCCCTCCTCGGGGGGCCGCTCCCGGAGAGGCGGGGCGCCTCCGAGGGGAGGGCCGCCCCCCCTTCCCCCTCGGCCTGCCCCCCCTCTCTCTTCGCGCCGCTAGGAGTGGGCAGCGGATGAGGGGAGTGATGGGGGAGAACAGAAGCCAGAGGAACAACCCTAGAAACATAAGCATTACTTACGCTACCGAGGAACCCGCATGCGGATATTATGTCTGGAATGCTGATAACAAAATGGTGCTGGTGGCCGTTGCCCCGCCCATACCGTTGGTGACGCCGGTCAGGCCTTGGGAGCCTGAGTACCCTGAGGGCGTCGAGAAACTGCCGCGCGTGCCACACTTTCCGAGCCTGGACCGTATAGAAACCACGCTCAGAGACCGCCCCTTGCGCACTCCCTCTGGTGTCGAAAAATTGCCACACCTGCCACATTTTCCGAGCCTGTACCGTATAGCGGCCGCGCTGAGAAACCAACCCCTGCGCCCCCCCTTGGGTGTAAAAAAAATTGCCACGCCTGCCGCACTTTCCGTACAGAGACCGCGTTCAAAAACCATCCCCTGCGCACCCCCTCTGGCGTCAAGAAACTGGCACCACTGTTACACTTTCCGAGACTGGACCATATAGAAACCGCGCTCAGAGACCATCCCCTTCGCGCCCCCTCTGATGTCGAGACCCCCTCTGGTGTCGAGAAACTGGCACCCCTGCCACACTTTCCGAGCCTTGACCGTGTATGGGCCGCGCTCAAAAACCACCCCGTGCGCACCCCTTCTGGTGTCAAGAAACTGCCACGCCTGCCACACTTGCCGAGCCTGGACCGTATAGAGAACACGCTCAGAAACTATCCCGTGCGCAGTCCTTCCGGCGTCGAGTAAATACCACGCCTGCCACACTTTCTGAGCCTGAACCGTATATAGGCCGCGCTCAGAGACCACCCCCTGCGCACCCCCCATGGGGTCGAAAACGTGCCACGCGTGCCACACTTTGCGAGCCTGCACCGTCTGGAAACCGCGCTTTGAGACCACCCCTTGCGCACCCCCTATGGTGTCGAGAGCCTGCCACACTTGCCGAGCCTGGGCCGTATAGAGACCGCGCTTAGAGACCACCGCCTGCGCACCCTCTATGGTGTCGCGAAAATACCACGCCTGCCACACTTGCCGAGGTTGGACCGTCCGTCTAGAAACCGCGCTTAGAAACCATTCCCTGCGCACCCTCTGGTGGCGAGAAACTGGCACCCCTGCCACACTTTCCTAGCCAGGACAGAGCAGAGACCGCGTTCAAAACCTCCCCCTGCGCACTCCCTCTGTGGTGTCGAGAGAAGGCCACGCCTGCCACACTTCCGGAGCCTGGACCGTACAGAGGCCGCGCTCAGAGACCACCCCCTGCGCACCCCCTCTGGGGTCAAAAACGTGCCACGCCTGCCACACTTTCCGAGCCTGCACCGTCTAGACACCGCGCTTAGAGACCACCCTTCGCGCACCCCCTAAAGTGTCGAGTAAGTGCCACGCCTGCTAGGCTTTGCGACAGTGTCGTGGATAGCGGCCGCGCTCAGAGACCGACCCCTGCGCACCCTCTGTGGTGTCGAGAAAATGCAAAGCCTGCTAGGCTTTCCGAAACTGCCGTGGATAGCGGCCGCGCTCAGAGACCACCCTCTGCGCACCCCCTATGGTGTTGCGAAAGTGCCGCGCCTGCTCGGCCTTGCGAAACTGTCGTGTATAGCAGCCGCGCTCAGAGACCACCCTCGGCGCACCCCCTATGGTGTTGCGAAAGTGCCACGCCGGCCAGGCTTTGCGACTGTGTCGTGGATAGCGGCCGCGCTCACAGACCGCTCCCTGGGCACTCCCGATGGTGCCGAAAAAATGCTACGCCTGCTAGGCTTTGCGACGGTGTCATGGATAGCGGCCGCTCTCAGAGGCCACCCCCTGTGCACCCCCTATGGTGTCGAGAATGTGCCACGCCTGCCAGGCTTTGCGACAGTGTCTTGGACAGCGGCCGCGCTCAGAGACCACCCCCTGCGCACCCCCTACGGTGTCGAGAAAGTGCCACGCCTGCTCGGCTTTGCGACAGTGTCGTGGATCGCGGCGGCGTTCAGAGACCACCCCCTGCGCACCCTCTGTGGTGTCGAGAAAATGCAAAGCCTGCTAGGCTTTGCGAAACTGCAGTGGATAGCGGCCGCGCTCAGAGACCACCCCCTGCGCACCCCCTATGGTGTTGCGAACGTGCCACGCCTGCTAGGCTTTGCGACTGTGTCGTGGATAGCGGCTGCGCTCAGAGATCACCCCCTGCGCACCCCCTATGGTGCCAAACAACTGCCACGCCTGCCACACTTTCCGAGCCTGGACCGTAGAGAGACAGCGTTCAGAGACCACCCTCTGCGCACCCCCTCTGGTGTCAAGAAACTGCCACCACTGCCACACGTTCCGAGCCCGCGTCTTGGGTGTATGATGCAGTGAACACGCCAGGCGTGCACTGGCGTTGTAAGGTGTGTGTGTGTGTATGTGTGTGTGATCGTGTGCATGCGAGGGGCTGTATGCACACGCGTGTCTCATGTACATGCTGTGCATGTGTTCCGCGTGGGTGAAGGAGGAAGGGAGAGGAGGGGAGGAGGGAGACGCGGGTGCGACGCGGCAAGGAAGAAAACCCAAACCCCACGAAACATGTGGGGAAAAGCATTCCGAGCTCCGCGCGGATTTCTTGGGTGTGTGCTAGAACCCTTCCCTGGCGCGCGGAGCGCGCCAGTGGCGGCGCCAGAAGCGCTGCCAGGGCGTCCAGCGCAGATCCAAGAAATCTGCGTGGAGCTCCAGGCACTTCTGATTATACCGTATCTGTATCTCCGATCGACGCCAGGGGTCGAGTGGAAGATCGACCACATAATGGATTTACCCTGAACTTGATTTGTCGGCCGAATCCAATTGGAAAATGCACGGCGTGCTCACGCACCTGCGAACATGATACGCCATTGTCGCGGGTTCGGCGAACAAGTCATGTGGAGACGACCTCACACTTGAAGGGAACAGGGCAGGCGCACAACACGCCAAGCAACGCGCCTCCCTGCGAAGCGCCTCCAGCGATGCGACGGGGCCAGGCGCCGCGCGCGTGGCCAGCTCCATCGTTTGTGGGAGCCTCCTGCAGACCTCCGCGGCCCGAAGCTCGTCCAGATCTCGACCGCCCGTCTTCACCCTTTGGTCCTGATGTCGTTCCGATTGCGTCCAGATGTCAACCAAATCCAGTGAAGTCGGGACGACATCTCCAACGCCGCAAGGACTTCTGGGACCCGCTGAGGCTCCCACGAAGAACCGCACACAAGAAGGCGAGGGAGAGGACCAGAACTGCGTGACCGAAAACTTACGGAGCCCCGCGGGGAGTTCTTGGATCGGCGCTGGACCCTTTCTGGCGGCGCCGCCCCTGGCGCGCTCCGCGCGCCAGGGAGGGCGGGAGGCCAGCACCGACCCAACAGATCCGCGAGGGCCTCCGAGAGTGTGTGGAGGCGGCAAGGGGCGGGGGGGGGGGCAGGAGGGGGGCCCAGACACTTCAACCAGTCGATCTCCTCATCCCGCGGGCACCCGCGGCGCTGGCCCCTTCCCCACAGGGGCTACTTCTTTCTGTTCGGCACCAGGCCCGCTCTGGACGGGCGCTGGGCCCAACAACGGCCCCCGGATGCCAGGACTGAAAACCAGGCCGGGACTGAGAGAAACCAATGCGCCAGAGGTCGGGGGAGGCAGCACCTCGACGTACTTGGCGCGGCCCAGGACGGGGTGCGCGTCGTTCTGCTCGCCGGCGACCTTGTCAAATGCGTCTCCTTCCGCGGGGTCCTTCGCAGGGAGGGCATCCCCAGACCCCGACGCCAAGACCTTGTCATGACGTCTACCCGCAAAGGTCTCCACCCGTGCCCCGAGACGGGAGCTTCATCCTGGACTCCCGCATGGGTGGAGACAGGTCCCCACCCATGCCCAGTGCTTCCGTGGACTTCCGTCGTGTTTTCTCTTCATGGCTCGGGGGGGTCTGGCTCCGAGGGCCCGCGCTGTCCTCGGAGTCGCCGGCACCCTCTGTACGCGGGGTATCCGCCCGCGGGGTATCCGCCCGCGGGGTCTCCGGCGCGCCCGCCGCCGCGTTGGCGAGGGCTGTCTCGGCGGGCTTCGCGGGCGGTCTGGTGGCCTGCTGGCAGCACGCACGGGGTTCGAACTCCTACTCGTCCTCCTCTTCGTCCTCCCCCTCCTCTTCCTTCTCCGCCTCCGCCTCCGCCTCCTCCTCCTCCTCCTCTGACCCTTCCTCCCACAAGGGTTCCAATGGTCCTCCTCCGCCTCGTCCTCGTCCGCCTCCGCCTCCACCGCCGCCTCCGCCTCCCCCCCCTCCTCCTCCTCCTCCTCCTCCTCCTCCCCCTCCTCCTCCTCCTCCTCCTCCTCCTCCTCCTCCTCCTCCTCCTCCTCCTCCTCCTCCTCCTCCCTCCCACCCTTCCTCCCGCGCCTGGGGCGAGGGGCCCTCCTCGAGGCTCGAGCTTCGAAGCTGGATTCAGGGATCAAAAACTGCCTAAGCATAAACTGTCCGAACTCCGCGTGTAGTTCTTGAATCAGCGCGGGGCATTCCTGGCGGAGCATACCGCGCCGCCCCCGATCCAAGAAATCTGCACGGAGCGCCGAAACATTATGTTTGGGCTACTTGTTGTACCTGGGCTCGCCCCCCTTTTGCGCCTCTGGAGGTGCCCATCTTTGCGCCTCTGGAGGTGCCCCTCGTCGCCGCGGCTGGCCCGCTTCGCGGTCCTGGTTAAAGCGCATCTCACGATAATTTTTGACCAGCTTGCCTGAAATCCCGACGTCGCGTTTTTGTCCAGGCTAGGCGTTCTGGCCCAGCCTCGGGCCCCCAGGCCCTCGCATCGGCTTGAGGAGCGCAGCAGAGAGAGAGAGAGAGAGAGAAAGAGAGAGGGTTTGTGGCGCCAGCCTTGATTTCAGACGGTGTGTGTGTGTGTGTCAGTTTGTTTCGCGACGTGGGATCTCTGGGGGGTCTTGTCGTGGTCAGCAAGAAGGAGGAGGGTCCTGTAGAAGAGGGGTCCTACATATGTCTCCACTTTCAAGCTCCCGAGGCCCTCCACTGGCCCCTGGGAGCGTTAAGAAACGGTTCGGTAGGGAAGAAAATTGACCAAGGGTTGAGCCTTGGGGCCCAGGAGCCGTTTCCACTGGGACCCCTTTCCCAGGGTAGTGGGAGTGCCTCCGTTCCTTCTGAGGAACACCCTTACGACCACCTGAACACTGCTGACAAGAAGCACGCCGTCTTAGGGGGCCAGCCCCTTCGTCCTGACCACTTGTGCGCGTCGCAGAGCCTGGGCGAAGATGAAGACGACCAGCAGCTGCACGACCATGCCACCACATACCAGGTACATGCAGTTCTTCGTGAACTGGGTAGGCTCTCCTGGCACCAGGGCGGAAGAAGATTACACCGCCCGATACTTGTGACAAGGGGGCCTGAACCGCACCACTAAAGGTGCAACAAACACAGCATCAACACAAACTCTTGGAGGTCCGCGCGGATCTCTCTGATCTGCGCCATGGGCACCCTCTTTGGAGCGCGCGGAGCGCGCAAGAGGCGGCGAAGAAGGCGCCCCCTGCGGGGGGGGACCAAACGAAGTCCCAAGAAACCGTCAAGGAACTCCAACCGTGCACGCTTACGCCGCTGGTTCCTCCAACCACAGGGCACGAAAGCCCCTAAAGCCCCTCCCTGCACCCACCTGCGCCCGGCCAGATGCACGAATAGCGCCCGGCGGAGGACCCCAAACAGAACGAGCCCCGAGCCCCCTTTCCGAGCTCTGGGAGGCCCCGTGCCTTGCAGGCAGTCGTGGAAACACAGACTTCGGACGCCTCCTGCGGGCGGCAGCTTTTCGCCGACGCGGGAGACCCCCGTACTGCTCATGTCTGTTCATCCTCCTCCTCCTTCTCCTGCTCCTCTTCCGCCTCCTCCTCTTCACCATCCTCGTCCTCCCCCTCCTCTTCCTAATCCTCGTCTTCCTCCTCCTCCTCCTCCTCTTCCTCCTCCTTCTCCTCCTTTTCCTCCTCCTCCTTCTCCTTCTCCTTCACCTCCTCCTCCTCCTCCTCCTCCTCCTCCTCCTCCTCCTCCTCCTTCGCCCTCATCATATTCATCCTCCTCATCCTCCTTTTCCTCCTTTTCCTCCTTCTTCTCCTTTTCCTCCCTCCTCCTTTTCTTGCTCCTCCTCCTCCTCCCCCTCCTCCTCCTCGCCCTCCCTCCTCCACCTCTTTCTCCTCCTCGCTCTGCCGTCATCTCCTCCTCCTCCACCTCCTCCTCCTCCTCCTCCTCCTCCTCCTCAAGTTTTTTTTCCTGACGTGCCGGATCGGACCAAAACGGGAAGCGCCGATGTTGTCCATTGGGCTCGCAGGGACCACAAGAAGAAAATGATGATGGCGACGACAACGCTGCGGATGTCGAATGTGGCAGCGTTGATGACGGGGGGGGCAGCGATGGGGGGGGGAAGGACACCGACTAGGATAACAAACGCGAGGACGTGGAAGAGATGGAGGAGGACGAACACGAGGACGAACCCAGCGGAGGAGGAGGGAGCGGAAAAGGAGATGGGAAAGAAAAGGGGGAGGAAGAGGAGGAGGGGGAAGAGGAGGAGCAGGAGACGGATGATGATGATGATGATGATGATGATGATGATGATGATGATGATGATGATGATGATGATGATGATGATGATGAGAAGGAGGAGGAGGAGGAGGAGGACGACAACGAAGGACGGTAAGGAACCCGACGAAAAGGACTTCGAAGAATAGAAGGTGTCCTCGTGATGTTTGAAGGGCCTCTTGGGGGCCTGTCGGGCACCTCTTGGGGGCTGCCGTGGTCTTCGTGGCCCCGAAGCACATGTTTGGGGGGCACGGGGACTCAGCGGGCTCACGGGGCCCGGGGCGCTTGCAGGCTGCGCGGCCCCCCCCCGAGGTTCCCACGAGGAATCCTCCTCCTGCTCCTCGCTCCTCCTCCTCCTCCCCCTCCTCCTCCTCCTCCTCCTCCTCCTCCTCCTCCTCCTCCTCTCCTCCTCCTCCTCCTCCTCCTCCTCCTCCTCCTCCTCCTCCTCCCCCTCCCCCTCCTCCTCCTCCTCCTCCTCCTCCTCCTCCTCCTCCTCCTCCTCCTCCTTTTCCTCCCCTCCTCCTGCTCCTACTCCTCGTCCTCGTCCTCCTCCTCATGACCCGTGAACACGTAGGGTTTGGGGGCAGGGGGGCCCAGCAGGCTCACCGGTTCCGATTTGTGGCTTCGGGGCTTCGTGGCTGCTCGGCGGCCCTCGCTTTCGTGCCGGCGCGCCGTGCGATGGCGGAGCCGCGTGGTGCCCCGTCGCCGCTTCGCGCTGGGCCTCTGGTGCAAGGTGCCGTGCAGTGCCGTGTCGCGCCGCGTGGTCCGCACCCCGAGGCGGGGCCGTGTGCTCCGAATGGCGCTGGCGCTGAGCCGTCCTTGCGTGGCTCGGTCGCGCCCAGCGCCAGCAGCGCTTCGTGCCAACGGCCATCAGTCGGCGCGGCCCCTGGGAGGCTACGTAAGGGGCTCCTCTTGGAATGTCTGGGCATGTCTGAGGGTTCTGTGAAGGCTTTTTGAAGCCATCATGGCGCCATCTTGGGCTCTCTTGGGCCGTCTTGGGGCCCTAGTCTTGGGGCCCTTCAGGGCGGTCTTGCGGGCCTCTGGGCGGCTCTTCGGGGCCTCTTGGGAGTCTCTTGGGGCCCTCTGGGAGCGAGTCCAAGAAGAAGTTTGTTTGGAGACCCCTCCGGAACCTTTTTTTTACCGAACAAAGAAGCCATTGATCAGAAACCCTGAAAGAACACAAGCCTCGTATGAGGGCGTCTTGGAGCCTCTTGAAACCTCTTTTGGGCCTCTAGGGGCCTCTTGGGGGGAAGACTAGAATTGCCGGTTCGTGTTCCCCCTCTTTGGCCCGTCTTGGGGCCGTCTTACGGCCCTTTTGAATCCTCTTGGGCGCATCTTGGGCCTTCGTTGGGCCCTTTTGGGCCGTCTTGGGGCCCTCTTGCGGGCCTCTTTGGCCATCTTGGGGCAATCTTGGGAGCCTCTTGGGCTGTCTTGGGACGTCGGAATCTCGAAATGGTGACAAACCTAACAACATGTAAACACATGAAGAACATCCGTGATTTTCGCCTCTCGGGGCCCTGTTGGGTTGTTGAAACTCTCTTGGGTATCTCGAAATCATATTGGGCCGTCTTGGAACGCTCTCAGGCCGTCTTGGGGACCTCCTGGGTCTCTCTTTTGGTGTCTGGGGGGTGCTTGGAGTGATCTGTCACCGTCTTGGAGGCCTGTTGGGCCGCCTTGGGCTCGAAACGGCAACTTTCTGAAAACCGATCAAAACAAAAACGGCGAGCGCCGCTTCTCTGAATTTGCGTGCGCGCCCGCACGGTTTTGCACACAACGCGGCATGGGTACACATGCGGTACCGTCGCTGGGCTTCCTTGAACATCCAGGTGGGTGCCGTAAGCAGCTTGCGATTAGTGCTTGCGTGCGGATGTTATAATTAGGTGTGGCGCGTAGCCTGTGTACATGTGGCCCTGCCAAGCCACGCGGCCTACAGGCTGCGCGCCGTCCCCCCCGGGGGATGCGCAGCCTTGTTTCCGCAAGGAGTTGCACCGATTCGGTTCTGCCAGGCGCTGTCCTCCCCGGGCGGTGCGTGGCCTCCCTTCCTCCTCCTGCTGGGCTGCCTGCCGCCCCCGCCCCTTGCCAGCCGGGCCCCTTGCCCTTGGCGCCACGCGGCTTTGGCGCGCGGACCCAACCCCTGGCCCCCCAGGGCCTCACGGCCCAAGGTCTGCCGCCCCGCAGCGCAGCCCTCGGCTTAGCTGGCGGCGCATGGCCGTGGAACTCCTCACGCCTGGCTTCGCCGCCGGCGCTGGGCTGCGGGCCGCCGCCGGCCTGCTGCCGGGGGTTTCCCGCAGGCCATGCGCTCCTCGCCCCTTTCCTTTCCCCTCCTCCCCTGCCTTCTTCCCTTCCTCCACGCGCGTCGCCATGGCGCCGCCTGCTGCCGCCCCTGGCGCGCAGCCCCCCCTGGTGTCCCTGGCTGAGGACCCTGCGTCAGGGCGCACCTTCCTTCAGCCATCCACCTGGTGGGCACAACATTTTGCTGCCAGCAGTCCCCCACCTGGACGCCAGCACTGTTCACGACATGCTCTACCTCGTACTGAGAATCGGCAGCGCCCGTGGTTGCACCGACGCCTCGGCCCGGCTGCTGCCACGGCCCCCGCTGCCGCTGCAGACCGCGCCGGCGCGCTCAGCTTGGGATTCTTCCGCGTCTGAGTGCCGTCCGCCTCCTCCTGTCCTTCGCGGCCGTCCCGTCCTCCCTTTTTCCCCCCTGGCACGCTGGCCAGTTCGCGTATCGGTCGCCCTGGAGCGCCGACCCCTGGAGCGGCACTTCTGCCTCGCCGCTGACGCAACAAGTGTGTGTGTGTGTGTGTGTGTGTTTGTGTGTGTGTGTGGGTGGGTGTGTGTGTGTGTGCGTGTGCGTGTGCGTGTGCGTGTGCGTGTGCGTGTGCGTGTGCTTGTGTGTGTGTGTGCGCGTGTGTGCGTGTGTGCCTGTGTGTGCGGGTGTGTGCGGGTGTGTGCGTGTGTGCGCGCGTGTGCGCGAGAGTGCGAGGTGTGTGCCGACGTGCGGGAGACGGGGGTGCAAGGCGTGCGTGCGAGGTGTGTACCGGGCGGGCGAGCGGGGGTGCATGTTGTGCGTGCGGGGTGTGTGCCTGGCGGGCGGGCGGGGGTGTACCGTATGCGTTTGGCGCGTGTATATGTGTAGGCGATGCCGATGAAGACGGTGCTGCAACTGATGACGACTACCATGATGCTAATAATAATGAAAATGCTAATGATGACGCCTCCGCTTCCGCCTCCGCCTCCGCCTCCTGCTCCTCCTCCGCCTCCTCCTCCTCCTCCTCCTCTTCCTTCTCCTCCTCCTCCTCCTCCTCCTCCTCCTCCTCCCCCTCCTCCCCCTCCCCCTCCCCCCACCACACCTCTTCCTGGCGAGCGAAGCGCGCCGTGGGCTGCTCGGGAGGCCCCGCCCAGGGGTGCGGTGAGAGGGGGGGGGGGGGCGGGCGCTGGCCGTCCACGGACGTTCGAGGTCAGTGTTCCGTGCGCTTTCGGCTGGCCTGCCGGCCTAGGCCCTCGGTGGTGGCCAGCACGTACATGCGGCAGCCCACGAACAGCATGCAGACCATCGGCAGCAGCGACACGCTCCTGGAGGCGACGTGGTCCGTCGTCCGCGTGCCAGCGACGACTCGAGCTGCTCGAATCGCCGGCCCCTGGAGCTCTCGACCCCTTCCCAGCGGGACTGGCTTTCACACCAGGCCGCCACCCGAAAAAGGCGAAAAGCCTCTGGCGCCATTTTCTCGAATCGCTGGATGTCTCGGTCGTCATCGTCGTCATTGGCATCGTCGACGCCGCCTGGAGGCCACGTTCAGAGTCTGCGTTGTCAACGAAGGTGTGAATGCGCCGGCGAGCTCGTCGACGTTGCGCGAGATCGATAGGCACGTGTATATGAGCGTCGACACGCACGTCAAGAAGATGACGCATTGAACCGTGGTGAAAGGGGAATCAAGGAGGGGCAAACAGTAGGAAGGGAAGAGAGTATCCTCGTCCTTCTTCCCTGCTTTCCCTTCCTGCCTTGGTCTCCTAATATCACCGTCATTTCATATGAGAAATTCGAATAACGAGACTCGCCTCCTGTTTCTTCTCCTCCCGCTTCCTCCCCCTCCTGCCCTTCCACCCTCCCTCCCCGTCATCGTCTCGCACCCCTTTCCTTACGGCCCCTACCCCCCCCCCCACCCGGGCCCCCGGCCCCACCCCCGAAAAACACAGACCTCTCTGGGTAGACCCTCCCTGAACCCCTGATCCCTTGTCCCCCCTCCCCCACCCTCCTTCTCCTCCTCGTCCTCCT